CAAAAAACAAGCGGGGACGGTTCTATATCTCCCATTCTACTGGTCTGACAAAATTCAAACTGAGTTTTTCATGTCTCAAAAGCACGACTTAGGATATGTATTAGATTAATATATAGCATTATTCTAACATAGGTATTTTGGCACAAAATTGGACATTTTCTGAAAAGACATGCCATTGTTTTTCCATATTTCGATTCTACACATCAAATTATGTCTAAATATTAAATTTTGTAAAATTTGGAGTAAAATTTACAGAGTAATTCAAAAATTTAGCTTGGCGCAATTTTTGCAGTTTGTGCCAAAAATAATTTACTTGGCAAACTTCTTAATATATGGCAACCCATTTTCCTTTCCCTTCCATTATGGCGGAGGGGAAAAAAGGCACCTCGTTTTTAGCAACTTATTTTCCTTTTTTCATTGCAGACGCACGGAAAAAAAGTCAGTGTCCATACTTTCAAATAATTTTAATAAAGTGTGTAAACCACATTTGGCATTATTATCACTTAAAAAAAAAAGATGGCAAACTTCAGAATGCAACAATAAAAGTAAATTCATGTATATCTTAGAAAATTCTGAATAAAAAAACTTTTTTTTTTTTTTTTTTTTTTTTTTTTTTTTTTGCAGGTTTGTCTAGAAATACATCTACTTTAAGATGATGTTAAAAATTTTATAGGTTATACAGTACAAAGTCTGTAATCCGGATGTCCATTATCTGGAATAATCTACAGGGTGATTATAATTAAAGTTTAAGTTTCAAAACGCTATAAAAAAAGAACCACTCATGAAAATGACATCAAATTTGAAAGGAATGTTATTGAAGAAGGCGGAAAGCGTATGGCAGAAGAAAAAATTTAGTTTCAAAAGTTAGCAACAGATGGCACTGCAAGCGGAAGAAGACGTAAATTAAAATGTTAGTTAAATTTCAGTGTTATAAAGCCGCCAGGTACCAGGCTGTTCCTCATTTCGCGACTCAGGCATTCGCCATGGGTGTTTCACTGCAGGACCGCGCTCTGCTGGTAAAGCTGTATTACAAGAATGATGATTGTGCAAGAGTAGCTCTGCAAAAATTCAGGACACTGAAGGGTATAAAAGAAGGGCGTTGGTCCAATGAGTGTCGTAGGTCTAAAGAAAATGATGCAAAAATTCGAAACGACAGGTACGAAACACCCTGCAATGCTATCCGTACAAAATTGGCCATGTGCAGGAGTTGCATCCTTCTGACCTGACAGCTAGGGAGACGTTGGAAATTTTCCACGGCCATTCATTATCCACTTTCCATATGACCATATGACCATAAGCCCCTTTCCATATGACAGGATATGTGAATACCCAGAATTGTCGAATATGGGCAACAGAAAATCCACTGGCAACGCACCCCGTACCACTTCATCCTGAAAAGGTCACGGTATGGTGTGGCTTTACGGCATTAGTCATCCTACAACCATATTTTTTCGAGAAGACGGGTGCTTCCGGTCCTGTTACCGCAATCGTCACTGGTCAGAGGTATGCATCTCTTTTGCGCAACCACGTGATTCCAGCTCTGCAACAGCGTGGATGTGTGAATGAAATAATTTTTATGCAAGATGGCGCTCCTCCGCACATTGCATATCCCGTGAAGCAGCTGCTGAGGTGCCATTTCGGAAATGCTCGAATTATCAGCCGTCATTTCCCTACAGCCTGGCCGTCCCGATCGCCTGATCTTAACTCCGTGTGATTTCTGGTTGTGGGGATATCTGAAGGATGTTGTGTTCCATGTTCCAATTGCAAATTTAGCGGAATTAAAGGCACGCATTTCGCAAAACATTCTGAACATCATCCGGAGACATTGCGATCCGTTGTGGAACATGCTGTTTGTCGCTTTCAACTTGTTGCACACAACAGTGGACACCATATTGAACATGTTTTGCGACGGTTCCGAACTTCTTTGATGAATGGTTCTTATGCGGTATGCCGCCGCAAAACTCTTGAAACCAACCGATTTGTCCCTTCCGATGTGATATGTACAGTCATGCAAATAAAATTATTCAACAATTCTAATTTGTCAATGCGTTTTAATGTGTAACTCCAACTTCCACCTTAGCCGTTGTTTTTACGAAACATTTCGTTTCGTTTCTCGTCGTGATTCTGCCGCTTACAGCGCCATCTGTTGCTAACTTTTGAAACTAAATTTTTTCTTCTGCCATACTCGTTCCGCCTTCTTCAATAACATTCCTTTCAAATTTCACATCATTTTCATCAGTGGTTCTTTTTTTATAGCGTTTTGAAACTTAAACTTTAATTATAATCACCCTGTATAATCCAGACATCAAAGCCACAAACTTTTTTTTTTTTTTTTTTTTTTTTTTTTTTTTGTATGCTTTATGCATGCGCGTAATGCGTTCACGCATGCACGTTTAATGTATAACGAACGGTATAAGCTAGGTTAAAATTATTTTTACTGATTCTAAGGCATTTCAGTTAATGTTACAGATTGCGCTGTTCCTTAATCTTCTAATTGGATCCGGCTTATTATTTTTTTTAGACTGTTAGAGCAATTATAATTAATAAAATTAAGCTTGAACTTTCGATTATGTCAAAAAGAGTTACCAATTCTGGAGCTGCCATACTGCTTCCGATAGTGAAGAAAGTGACAGAGAGGTTATTGAAAATGAAAAAATTTCGATGTACAAGTTAGTCGGCATTTTCGACACAGCAATTACAGGACTTGAACAGTGGAACTTTGTAACTGAACAAGAAATTATGTCTGTTTATAGAATTAAAGAGAAAGTATTAGCACAAAAAACGAAGCAACTTGCATTGAAAGAAATGTTTGGAAAGTAAACAAATAAATATTAAGTTTTTTTTTTTTTTTTTTTTTTTTTTGTAAATTTTGATACCCTTTATATCATAATTGCTCTTTATTTCATAAATTATGGTTTCATATTTTTAATTGTATAATTTCTGCATGCCATCTTACCAGATTTAAAACTAATTATCTATAATCCGGAAAACACACTAATCCGGAATTGCCGAAGTCCCGATGAGTCCGGATTACTGACTTTGTACTGTCCGATTTTGTGTCAAAATATTTATGTTAAAATAATGGTATATATAAATCTAATATATATCCATATATATCCAAAGTCACGCTTTCGAGACATGAAAAACACAAACTGAATTTCATCAATCGGTCCAATAGAATGGAAGATATAGAACTGTCTCTCTCTCTCTCTTTTTTTTTTTTTCTCCCCATTGTGTGTGTGTGTGTGTGTGTGTGTGTACAATCAAATGACACAATCTGACTTCTAAATTAATCAAATGATAGTTATCCACAGCAGTGGTATCATCTTATATTAATTTTCGGAATCCTTTCTTACCTGTCATAATGTGGTATCATCTATAATTAGACCAGATAGGTGGGCAAGAGACAAAAGAAAACTGCATTAATGTTTTTATTTCTATGTCATATAAATCTTTTAATGTTGTTGTGTCTTTTAATAGTACTAAAGAAATCATTCATTTTAGTCACAAATTGCTGTGTAGCTGTGCTGTGTGAAGTTACCAATAATTAAAACTAATGGCATTAGTGAGCACATATGTGCAGACAGCCAGCAATATTAATTCTAATATGTATCCAAGCCTCTGTAATATGATGATACAATTGTTATTTTAATGGTGGATGTTCATTTAAAAATCAGTTTCATGATATGTAACAATAATATTCTCACAGGAATACTAACAGAAAGAAATGGTCTATTAAAATGCATCAAAATGAAGATAAATATGTTCCTATTTTTATTTTGTTTCATTTCAGAACAATAAAAATCAAAACAAAGCAAATTAAAAAAAAAAAATAAAATCACAGTTCAAACACTGTTATTCAATTGCTACATGACTCAAGCTTATATTCGGCCTGAAGGAAATTATGGCAATTCAAGGACTTACAATTAGGACTTCTTCTTATCTATGATATTGTTTCTCAAGGTAAAACCACAGGCTCAGAATATAACAATGAAGACATGAAGAAGTAACTACAAAACTTTGAAATGAACTCAACAAGAAAGAATAATTTCAGAAAGAGCAACAAAATGAGACCGTGGGTGAAATACTTTTGGAAAAAGAAGGGGGAAAAAACCCCTATAATCTTAATTCTTTAATCTGCAAAATGTATACATAACTCAATAAGATACAAATATTTCATGTAACAAAATTACCTTGATAAAACAGTAGGAAGTTATAACATAAAAGTTTTGAAAGACAATGCTGTATCTGACTTTAAAAATCTTTTTTTCAATTTATGTAACAATAAATCATATAGGACAAATTTCAAGTGAAAGAGATACCTAGCCAGTTTCAAACAAATTATGCTTACAGACAAAGAAAAGATAAAAGAAGATGTCTTCTAAAGATAGTAAGTTAGTAATCTAATGTTTTTATAGAAAGCAACTTCACATCCAGACAATAACATCTTCCTCATCATTTTTCACCTAGTCTTCACTGTTTTTTTAACAGGTACAATTAAATAAAATTAAGTATCATCTAGTGTTTCATCTAGGTTTCATATGATGTTTGTTATTGTGGTTAGTTTTATTTTTATTTTATTATTATTTATTTTATTTATTTTATTTATTATTATTTATTTTTTTATTTATTTTTATTTATTATTTATTTATTTTTTATTTAACGACTTTTATTGGTTTTTTATTATGAACTTCTGGAGACAATACCGCACAGAGTTTAAATAAACAATCATCAGTTACTCAGAAACAAATTAATCCATTCTACATTAATTTTTTATGGGAAAAACTGTTTCAGTTTATGAACATTTCAGTTGATGAATGGCTTTCAGGTATGAATTAAATTTGTAAACTGAGGTTTCCTTGTAATATTAGAATAAAAGAACTAAATCAGAGTTAATTATAATAGTAATCATTCAAGTAATTAATAACTGTAAATTAAATAGGCTAAAATTTTCACAAAGGGAAAATAATATTTTTGTAACATTGATATTATATTCGAACCTCTGGTTCAACTCGGAATGATATCCAGTCATCTATTTTAAACATAGCCTTTTGGTTGTCATATTTTGAATCATCTTCACTGTCCTCTTCTTCCATGTAGCCTTCTAGATGAGCTGAAAAAATGAGATTATATTACTGTATAAGAAGTAAAAATTTCATTAAACTAAATTATGGTTTGCATACTAAAATTATTAATATGAAGATATGAAAAATCAAATAAATCATAATTTTTAAATACATATTTTGTTACAATTAAGAATTAAAAAATACTTTTATTATTATTATTACACTAGGAAAAATGTTCAATAGTACATAGAACTTCATATAATATACAACATCATCTCAAGTTTAAAAACTACCAGTTTAGTAGTCTCATAAAAAACATTTGTAATACAGAATTTTTTTCATTTGCTTTTCTTAACAAACTTTATTTATTTTTCTTTTCTGCCTGCCTTCTACACAAAGCATGATAGCAGTTATAAAATATACCAGATGCCCTACTAACAAAAATTTCCCTTTCAAATCAGAAGTCTACACATCCAGCAAAAGTAAATATTCTGCAGTAAAAATAAATATTTTAAATTTAGAATAATCTTGAGATAAAATCTTTAAAATTCTCAAAAGCAGAAATTTTAAAATATTTTCTGCAATGATCTTATAATGTATTTCTCCCGCCTTCTTGTCATGCCTTCATGGTGTAATGGTCTGCACACTGGGCATATATTCCAGAGATCCACGGTTCGATTCCCGGCAAAGGCGTTGCTAATTTTTCATCTTGCCTGCTTCTAAAAATACCTATGTCTCTACAATCTTACCTTTTGTCGCAAAAAGGTTGGAATGCTATAACAAAATAAACAACGATTGTAATTCAGAAATATCTACGTACAAAAGAGATATATACAAATTACATTTTTTTTCCAAACTATAGAAACAAAATCAAATTTTTAAAAAAATTTAAATTGGATTTGTGTTTATATTCAAATTTTTTAAACATTTAATTGCCTTTTTTTTCTTTTTTTTAAGTCAATTTTTTTTATAAAAATGGACAGTTAAAGTCAGTTTATGTTAAGTTTAAAGCAAATACTCAAGCTTTCTTGATGAATAAATTGAAAAATTGTAGCGGGAGGAAAAAAAATACGACTTACAAGACAAGAGTATTTTATTTTCTAAGCGTTTAATTTCGAAATCTTGTGACGGTCTTTTAAATATTTACTTTATATGACAAAGAACTTGCAGCAGAAGGCACAACGCTAGGACATGCACAGGTTTAAGAATCCCAGCTGTGGAAAATTCAAGACTGACACTAGCATGGGTGCTTAAAGAAATCAAATACTGTAGTATACTGAAACTGATATGGACAAAAATAGTAGGAAAAAAAAAATCACAAAAATCTGAAAGATTTCAGATTTTAAATTATGTCCAAAGGGGAGTTTAACATTTTGTGTATTACCTTTATTTATTAAATGTCATTTTCTTTGCACTTAAACCATAAAATTCAGTTCAAGAGCAATATCGCAAAATAATTTTAATATGAGCATATCTTTAGAATTTCCGATACACAGTTCCGCGCGCTGGAGATAAAAAAAAAAAAAAAAAAAAAAAAAAAAATTGTCTCCTGTAGAGTGTTGCCATTGCTCGCTTTTAACTCATTGAGTTTGTTACTCAAAAATTCGTTTATTAAAGCATATCTTTAGAATTTCCGATACGCATTCTCGCGCACCGGAGATAAAAATGTTTTTTCTGTACAACATTGCCATTTTTTGCTTTGAAATCCTTGAGTGTGTTAATCAAAAATTCGTTAAAGTTTTACAAAATGTGAAATCGATAATAAAACCAATTCCAAATTTCAAATTTGGGTTTCAGATGACCATATTCACAATAGGATTACATCATTCTCTTTTAGGTTACTTTTTTTGCTTTATTCCTCCTTTGCACTGCCTAAGATTTCTCATAACTAAGTTCACAGTTTACTAGACACTATCCTAACTTCATTATAATTATTTAGCTTCTTTGAATTTATTATATATACTACACAATTTTTTTAACTTTTTCAAAAATAATTTTTCGCAATGCAGTGCGGCTTTCTCAAATGCTGAATTTTTTTAAAAAATAACTTTTTGAATTAAACCAGTACGATGTATTCCATTCCTTGAACTAAATACAAATTTTTCCATCTGTTGAAATTTTTTCATCTGCAAGCTGATGTTACACTTGAGCTTTATTCTATGCCAGTTATCTTTGGATTCCTTTTAGGTTTTAGAATCCCTGTAATTCGATGTTTTTTTCTCTTTTACAAATTTTTCATCAACAGCAAAACACATATTTAATGTTACAATGGAGAATTTTTCTAATTATTTTCAAAAACATTAATCAGTTAAATTCTTAGTTTATCTAAATTCACTAATTATAAATTTTTAGCTACTAAACAGATAGAATATATTTTTTCATTTCCAAACTTTTGTTTGTTCAAAATATTTTTTTAATTTCAAAACTTCTGTTGTTGTTACACATTTTATGAATCAACTCTTCTCTCTCTCTCTCTTTTTTTTTTTTTTTTTTTTTTTTTGGTGTGTGTGTATGTGTGCGTGCGTGCATGCGTGCCTGTGGACCAAATTTTTATTTATTTTTCTTTCATATATTGTATTAATTCTGTTTCAGTATGCTTTTTGGTCTTGATCTGCTTAAACTGAAAACTGTTATTTGATTTTCATGCTATATTTTTTTAACTGTTTAACCTGGCCTGCATGGTTTCAAAACTTAATATTTTTGCATATGTTGGATTACTTGTATTTGTAAGTTTTGTTTTCTGGACTCAATCTCCTCAAAATAGCATTTTTAAAATCTGTTTACATTTTTTGATGCTATAATTTTGCAATTGTTTACACTGCTTACTTTAGCCTGTAGGGGTTGAACTGATAAAGGCACGGATTACTTTGATTGTTCTTCTGAGATTATTTTAAGTTTTGAACTTTAATTTGAATCTTTATTGGTTCAAAAACAGGCTGATTTATTTACTTCTTTCGCTGCACCAACCCCCTGATGATGATGCAGCAAAATAAGTAAATTTCTTATTTCATTTTTGCTTTGATATGTTCCCCCCTCTTTCCTTGCAATCTGCAACTGTGCATCTGGTATTTGGATTTTACATTATTTTATTTGGAACTGAATATGGGATGATTTTAAACATATTACTTTTCAATTTGCATTTTAAATATTCAAGATATTGTAATCTAGGCTTTAATTCCCACAACAAATGTTAATGAACAGTACAGGATGGGCCAAAAGTCATGCTACCATTGGAAGAATTCACAGCAACCAACGATTGCAATACTAATACACCAATATACAGAATATCGATATTTCATGTTATTTTGCATTTTTGTGAAACTGGTATTTGCTAAGGTAAAATACTGGTATTAGCTAAAGGGTTTAATTTAACTTTTTAGGCACCTAGTGCTACTTGAAATATACATCTTTTTATCAATGTGGCAGTATTAATATCAATCATTTGCTGTCGCATTTCCGATTCAAAGATTCTATTTTTGTCTCTCTTTGTCTGCGTAATATCAAGTATGAAGCATGTATGAAACCTAACCTCCCTTTACGTGACACTTCAACAACCAGCTTTCACCAGAATGTTCAGACCTCATTTTCTTTATTAGCATTTCTCAGTAGCCTTATAGCTATTGCTACATGATGATCTTCAAGCTTATTATTTGCCCTGAATAATTCTATGCTTACGTTCGAAATGTGACTCCTGCATTTGTTAGGAATAGGCCAGTACCACCCAAGAGCCCTTTAGTCAAAACTGTTTAGTTCAACAATGATCACAGTAAAATTGTGCACAGTGTTTTATATGTTTAAACATTTAGATATTTTTTAAGTTGGTGAGGTCCTTTTTCAAAAATAAGAAGAAATTTTGCATTATACTTTATTGTTCAAAGTATGTATATTTACAACATATTTTTTTTTTATTTTTAATTATCAATAATGAATCATGTCTTCAAAGAACATAAAAAATCTGCCAGTAATACTTTGGCTTGATTTTACTATTTATATGATGAAAATAATATGCTGGCAAGATGCAAAACATCTTCAAGGATAGTTAAAATTTTTGGAGGAAGTATATGTGGGCTACATACACATTTAAAAATGTAACATAACATTAATTTATTGAATTGCAAGTCATGCAAAAATAATATTACTAAACCAAAATATTTTTAATAGAAAAAAATGAATGTTGTAATGAAGTCTTATCTAATATGACAACTTGATATGAAAAACACTGGTAAGTTCATTGATGCAAATCAGCAATTAAGCTATGCTCACAGAATTCAACTTGGAATGATCAGTGTGCTATATCAACAAAATCAAGAGCAGCAGAAGCAGAACACTCTGGATTTAGAAACTTCTGATTCTGACTTTGAAGAGAGTGACAATAAAGAAAATAATAATATAATTGTTGAAAGTACCTGATTTGGATTATGAAGAAAATAATAGCAATGAGGGCAAAATATTAACCAAGGACTGCTTCCTATAATTAAGAAAATTCAAAAAGTTGTTAAGATATTTAAACATTCCCCTCCTAAAAATGCCATTTAAAAAAATATATACTTACTGAAATGAAAAAAGAACTTATGTTATTGTCAGATTCTATAACAAACTGGAACAATTTACTCTAAATTAAGGGAAAGGTTGTTTTTTTTTTTTTTTTTTTTTTTTTTTTTTTTTAATTAAAAAAAAAATCCAATTCAGAAAGCATTAATTGACTTCAATTAAAAAATAAATTTTTTCAACAGTAAATTTGATTTAATATCTAAAACTGTATCAGCTTACAATACAGCTAGCTGTAGATGTATTATATCAGAAGGATACCAACTTATTAATAGTGAATGTAGGAATAAATTTTATGCTGCAATCACTTAAAGATCAGGAGGCATCACTATCTGAGGAATTAAAGTGTGCATTGAAAATCTGAATAGAGAAAAAGCATAGTAAACTAGAAAATATTTTTAAGGTATTTAGATAATAACTTCATAAAATAAAATGAAAAGGAAGAAAAGAGGCTAATAAAGTCAAATTTACTTTAGTTGGTCATAAATTTCAACAAAAAACATTTATGAAAAGCAAACACAAACCTATCTGGAGAAATCTGTTGAAGATGTTGATATTAATATCACAAAATAATTGTCTCTTGAGAAGAAATTAAAATTAGCCATAAATAAAAATAATTCAAGATAAAAGACTTTGAGGTAAATATTAAGAGGAAGTATATTACTCGTTATTAACAGTATCACCAGCCAGCATGCATGCAGAAACAGCATTTTCAATTGCATGTAATTCGTGCACAAAAAGTATGTTCCATGCTTAATGACAGTTCAATAGATGCATTATTTTTTTTACAATTGCATTTTAAAAGTATAGAGTTAATAAATTAGTTGTTTTTTCCTATTAATATATATGATACACAACATAACAAAACTTTCATGTGATATTTACTCTTTTTTATAATAATACTATATATTTTGTTCCTTTATTGCATTGTAATATTGTAATGGTTTATTTTTTATGTTATATTTTTGGTTTCTCTTATTATAAATTATTATTTTACAGCTCTTATTAATAATATTTGATAACATTTGTTCCTTTATATTTAGTACATAAAAAATTGTTTACATTTTTATAGTTTATGTATTTTTTGTACTAAACTAATAAATATGACAAACAACAGTGTTTTTGTGCCTCTTTTGAAAAATTCCTAATATTGGTAATGCATTTTTGGTATAGTACTACAATCATTATCACATAATTTTTTTTACCATATAAGGTATTTCTCCTGCCTTCTTAGCATCACTTCATGGTGTAGTGGTGTAGTGGTCTACACTACACTATGAAGTACCACTACACCATGACTTCATGGTGTAGTGGTACTTCATGGTTGCCTCGAGTACGCGTCGAGCATACTTGAGAGGTCTGTGGTTCAAATCCCAGTGAGAGCATTGCTCATTTTTCATCTCAACTGCTTTAAAAAAATACCTAATGTCTCTACAATCTTTTATATATTAACATTCCAACCCTTGAAGAAAAACCAAAAGCTATAGAATTTTATAAATCAGTGGCCCACTGTACTCGGTCAAAGAGTATACGCGTATCCTTATCAAGTGTAAGTTATCAAGTGTTATATAGTCTATCTGCCCTTTAAATTGGTGATAACCTATTTCATCATTTCCAGTTACAGGGATCTGTACATGACTTATCATGAATCATAAGACTATGTTCTACATGAATCCAGGAAAACAGCTCTGAGAAAAGCAGACAATAAGATGATGCATAAATGTTGACTCAATGCTATCCTTACAAGTTTGGCATTCCCAGGATACCTTAGAATGAGACAGACTAGCTCTTTAGAGACATACTTGGAAAATGATTTTAAGAAATGCTGATTTCATCTGGACAGTGAATTTGTCCAATTTAATCATCCCAATTTTTTTTCTTTGGGGCCATCCTCAATGTTCACCAGCTGAAGGAAAACATTGGAACAGAAATTCATGCACTGAAGGTAGACATGCTAATCCATGTCATGGGAAATGCATTGGAAAGGATGCACAGTTGTGAAGCATTTGATAGAGGCCATTTACATATCATCATCTCCCATAATTGGAACAAAAGAATTTCTTAATGTTCTATTGTCATATGTAGAAACATTACATCATTTAATAAAGCAATAAAAGTGTTATTCAGCTTTTAAATGGTAGTGCACTTTGAGCTACCCTGCATTTCCATTTAGGAAAAATATAAATTTTAAATTTAAAAATGCAAGTTTTAAATTTGAGCACATCCTAAAATTGTTTCTAAATTTCCTGAATTTTGAAAACATTCTTTTAATAGCAGCAGATAATTCTTAAGTGAATTAAGAGTTTCAGTAACACTTATTTCTTTTATAGTCACCAATTTGTATTATCTAATGCAGTCATTGCTGGTGCAGCTTTATCATGATGTAGTGCAGGGTTTCTTAAACTGTGGGTTGTGGGACCTGCAGCAGGGATTATCAAAACATTTAACAGTTTTGATATTTCTTTAACTTATCATAAAAATTTTACAATTATCAAATATTTTTACACAATGCATCTGAAAATAGATAAAGATATGACAATACATACAAAGAAAAGAACGAAAACGTGTTGACACATTCTTTTTATAATAATATAAAGGTTCATTTTCCTTGTTTCGCATGTGACGCTGTCATTCCGTCTGTTACTTATTTAAAATTTTCACATTGTTCTGTCTTAAAATTAGAAATTAAAGTTAAAACTGCAATACTATAATACAGTAAAGTGAAAAAATTAACAGTTTCACTCACATATGTGTCGGATTTGCAGAATACTTATGGGGTCCCACAAAATTTTTGTAAATATTATGGGGTCTTGGGTTTCGTAAAAACTTCTCAGTGATAAAAAGGGGTCACGACTGAAAAAAGTTTAGGAAACCCTGAGGTAGTGGATCACTGAAAAGTAATGTTTGAGATATAAAACTCGGTAACATATTTTAAAAATTGAGGTTCAGCAAACTTTTCCAGTAAAAATTTTATGACTTTTTCCTTTGCATTAGCTAACAGGTAATGCAAAATATGGTTTCGAATGTAAAAAATTTTATGCAGTGAGTTTTTCAATCAATTACTGATTAAAGTCATAATTGAAATAGTGACTTGAATTACCTTATTAAAATCATTAAAACTTTGTGAATATTCCTTTCATTTTTACACTTTACGAATGATTAATACATGAATATTATAAATTTCAGACATTTAGAAACATAAATAATGCAATAAATTAATTATGTGACATTATCACTTACCTTGATCAGGTTCATGCAGTGCATCCAAAGGTAGACGAGCTGGACCAGAAAATATAGCAACAGTTATAGGTGTGACAAGAGTACAGCACTGAGCGTGTGCTATACTGCCAGTACGCATCATTTCTTCATATATTAACCAATCACAAGGCAACTCAGCAACTATTTGTTTACGCATGTGAGCCACAGTTTGCTTGGATGATAGTGGTAACTTGTTCAAAACAGATGAATGATGAAATCTAACTTTAGTCTCTTTCCTTTATTAATGAATGTAATAAAAATCAAATATTATAATTTTTAATTAAAAAATGCACAAAGAGAGCATAAAAATATAAAACAACCTAACTCATGAGAAAACTTAAAATCATTCATATCTTTATTTGAAATCAATAGACAATCAATTTCAAAATAAAAATGCAAAATGATTGTACTCTTTTTATGGAGTTTAAATAGTAAACCTCATAAATATTTATTCTGAGCTCAGATTGAGTTAAAACAATGTAGGTCCTGAATTTGTTACCATTGCAGGCTCTTTCTTTCACAGAAGACTTATTTAAATTTACTTTACACTTATTTAATAAGGTTTTGGAAATATCTCCAGGTAGTTAGGTGCATAGTAAATACTTTTGCAGTGATTTAGGGACAATTTGGTATAAAACACAACTAGTTCTCCAATTTATTTCAAAGATGCTATATCGGAACAAGAACAGAGTTTTGACTGAATTCATTCATTATCATTTTGTCAAACCATTCGGTGATGATCTTTCCTTTTTGAATGGGTCCTATCATAATGCTCAAAGAATATGTGCCAATCTGTTGCCTCAAAGTAGGCAGAATAGACTTGCCCGGAAAGCATTAAAAGTTCTATGTGCAAAGGTTAGTGAACACCATGATCCAAACAATAAAAACAGACTAACACAAGAATTCCTCTTTCACTAAATTTTATAATGGGGCTAATACAATCCAGCAAGAAGTATTTCCTTAGCAATCATCATGCACATGACTCTCCAACAATATACAGCATGACTCATTACTCCCAAATTGTCCCATTGTTTCAGTTTTTACTGGTTAGGCATTTTACTGTAGTTGACAAGCAGCATTTCATGTAATGACCCTTGATTTATATGCTACAGTTTATCTGTAGAATCCAATGGAATCCACTTCTCACTGGATGGTAATGAGAGGTGGCCTCACTTTCTAAAGCCAGGAAAAAACTACAGTTACAGCTTCTAATAAGACCTACCAGTCTGACTTGGCACAAGTTGGAGCATCAGTAATCAATTCTGTCAATTTTTTGGCTTTCCAAGCCAGGAAAGAGTTTTATAGTTCCTTTACTTACATCTCACTACACTGTTGACTCTTACTTTCTGGAATTTTTCTGGAATGCACTGGTGATGGATCTCATGAATGGAATGACTGAATGGTCATCCAAAATACTTAAGCTAAGATTCAGCTTCTCTTAATTCACATCATACATTCTCTTTGATACCAGTATTTGGTATACATGTAAACTATGAGCTAACAAATCCCTTTATTGGTCAACAACAAGTACTGATAATGTAGGAATAGTACTATTCACACTGGAACGGGTTTCCAGGCGTTAATAGTAATACAGTGAATAATTCAGCATTTTAACCACATACTTATAAGAACAAAAACAAATTTAAAAAACATTATTTCTAATAAGTAAAGAAATATTCCATAAAAAAATTCACAATCAGAAGTCTAATTCACAAGGTTAATTACACAGTTTAAAAACAAAATCTCTCTATATAAAGGAAACTTACTGCGTTATAAATTGTTGACGATCTCTGTCAACTCTTATTAAGTTAGGATATGTTCCAGCACAAAGTGCTGCTTTAACAACAGCCCATATTTCAGAATTGCTATTTAAGTCACGGATATCGCCTGTTCCACGGGCTTTTACAAATCCAGATGCCCTGAGCTGCCCTAATAACTGTGACCTCATGCCGACTATCATTTCCATTGTAGCAGCAGAAAGAAAGTTTCTAGAGCAAAAGCTATGTTCATGGCCTTCAGCTTTGGCCTTCTGCCATGCCTAAAAGTTATGATTAAACATATTAATAGGTATATTATAACATTAATGAGAATCACAACAAAATGTAAAGAAAGCTTCTGTTAAAAACACTGTGGTATGATATCCAAAATATTAAACAAAAAAAATTAGATATGCAACAGAGCTTGCTACCAATGCATTGCTTAAAAGTACAAACACCTTACATTTCTTCATTTGCAACAAACATAATCACCAATGACATTTATGCTTACAGGTAAGGAATGTAAACTACAAAAATACATTGAATTGATGCATTGACTGATTAGCAAATAAACTGATTATAAAACATTTTGTCTGAATTTCTCACCTTTAAAATTAAAAATAAAATAACAGTTTTAATCATTGCACAAATTTTATTTCACATCTTAAATGATAAGAGATAATATGAAATTATTTATATTTCTATTAATATTATTGACATAATAGGTAAGAAAACCATAAAGAAAGCACTTTTGTATAAATTTATGAATATTTACCAAAAAGAGATATTCATAAATTGCTACAAAAATGAACATGACCAAATAAAATGACGAAAAAATGCTTTCATCCTTATCATTAAAAAACGAAGAATCTCTGAAATCCTTGCATTGTGGAAAGAGTGGCATCTAGAGCTACAAAATTTTAAACTCACATAGTTCTATACCCAAATATGCACACCCTGAAGCCTGAATTTTTAATTTATTTTATATTTAACACAAATTTAACGACATTTATATTTAAAATAATTCATGAAATTAATGCATATATTATTTCTGCATGCACATTGTTACAATGTTGCATACATCTTCTATGATTCATCTTACACATGCAGAAATTACAAAATTAAAAATATGAAACCGTAATTTATGAAATAAAGAACAATTATGATCTAAAGGGTATCAAAATTTACAAAAAGAAAAAGCTTAATATTTATTTGTTTACTTTATTAAACATTTCTTTCAATGTAAGTTGTTTAAGTTGCTTAGTTTCATGTGATAATACTTTCTCTTTAATTCTATTAAACAGACATAATTTCTTGTTTAGTTACAAAGTTCCGCTGTTCAAGTCCTATAATTGCTGTGTCGAGAATACCGACTAATTTGTCAATCGAAATTTTTTCGTTTTCAATAACCTCTGTTACTTTCTTCACTATCGGAAGCAAATTATAATGATGAGGAACTTGTTTTAAATCATATCAAAGACGGAGTACATCGAGATGAAATACTACATTTGGTAAGGAATTATAAGCCAAATAAAATAAAAACATCTGCCCTGAAGATAAGGATAGCACTGACAAATCAACTTCCAATTCATTGCGCGCCGCGGCGTTCCCCCCGCCGAGCAGCGTGAAATTGATAAACAGATTTCGGATTTCGAAACATGCTTTCGCTTTAGATCCTTTACATATTAACAAATATATATAAGATATTCTATTTGATATAATCGAAAGTTTAAGCTTACTTTTATAAAATTGCTCTAACAGTCTGCAAAAAATAATAATCCGGATCCAATTCGAAGATTTAGGAACAACGCAATCTGCAACATTAACTGAATTAGATAATTTTAGCTTAGCTTACACCATCCGTTATACATTAAAAGCGCATGCGTAAACGTTTTATGAGCATGCGCACAAGCATATTCGCAGCCATAAAGGTCTTACGCACGCACGTCATACGCATGTGTCAACGAGACGCATGCGCAGAAAGTTTGTAGCTTTGAGGTCCGGATTATAGGTGTCCAAATTAATGACTTTTGACTGTAGTATTATTTTCTTTCCCTTCCCAGACAGACAGATTTTTCCAGTAGACCTTATTTCTGTAGTAAAATTCCTTTTTTTTCTCTCTATCTGTTCAATGAAACCTGGCGAATTTTTCTCAAAGAACAATGAAAAAAGATCAAGAAAGGAGCTAACCTGCTTAACATTTTTGCCCTGTACATCATATCAGTAACACTTTTTTTGTGCAACATGATTTGCATATATGTGGTACCCATCTTGCATATTTATTTTAGCTTACTTTTTCTATTTCTAGATGGCATTACCTGACATAAGAACAAGTCTGTACAGTTTTTTTTCTCCCTTTTTGCTATTAGTGAACTCATAGTGAAACAATTGCTTTCTAACACAGAGTATTGAATTTGCTAAATGTTTTTCTCATATACTATTATTAAAAGTGCATAAAATACCTTTTAAGTCATAATACTGTAATTTTCATGTTTTAATTTTCGTTTGTTCCTTGTTTTAAAATATACCAACTAAATTCCTTCCTGCACTCCCTGCTCTAAAATAAAACATACAGAGATGAAATATTAAGTTACTCTAAAATTTCCAGATGTATAATGAATATGAAACGTAAAGCTATGTAAAATGTTTATTACTACTTGCTTTTTATTTTTTAATTTACAATAAAATAAATAAAAAAAATTACATAGGTATTTTATGTAAAACAGACCTACTACTCATACTTACACCTGGTCAAAAAGCCAACATTACATTGATTACATTGTAATTTTTCTCTCTCTTTATATATATATAATTTCCATTTTTAATTTTTTCATGATTCATATTTGATGTTTCATTTTAAACATATTTTAAAGATTCATTTTTAAATGCTTAAAAGTTACTTTCGTTAAGCTAAAATTCTACTACCTTTCTCAAAGGAGATAATATACTCAATAATCCATTAGTAAATAAATCACAACCATCTAACTACAATAGATTAGCAAATCTATATGCTCTCCCAAAATTTCATAAATCACCACTCAAATTTAGATTTATTGCTGATGGTACAAATAATTATAAAAAGAATAGAGATTACATATTTGCAATTAAACTTTAAAAAAAATTTAATTTAATCCAACAACTCGTTAACAAACTACACAACTATAGTTGGATTATTTATAATAATGCTCCAGTTCTCAGCAGATTTAAAAGTTTAGAAATCAAGAACATTAACTGCTATGACTTTGAAAAACCTTTATACTTCTCTACCATTAGAAGAAATTTTTACTAGTTTAAAGCAGCTCCCACAACTTTTTCCTGACATACTTGACATCCTTTGTATTGAAAGATGGAATACTTACCTGAATTGTGTATTATTTAATAACTACATTAAATTCAATAATAAGATCTTTCAGCAAGTGAGAGGAATTCCTATGGGAGCAAACAGTTCTACACAAATATGTAACCTATTTTCTTTTTACTTATGAATATAAATTCCAACTAAGTTTAAATAAGAATGAATTAAAGCTATTTGCACATACATTTAGATACATAGATGATATTATAACTTTCAATAATAATTCGGCTTTTGAACAATTCAAAATTTACCCAAATAGTTTAACACTTAATAAAACGAATACGAATCAAGATATTATTGAATACCTTGACCTGCTAATTATTAAACACAGCAAAATTAAATTATATGATAAAAGAAGGAATTTCCATTTTCCTACTATTAAACTAATTAATTGGAACTCTAATATCTCTAGAAAAGTAATAGAAAACACGTTTGCTAGCCAAATAATCAGAATAAAAAATATATGTACTGAAATAGAAGATTTAGGAAGAAATAATAAAGTTAATTAATGTTCAACTTGAACAAGTGTTCAACTTGATAACTAAGTACCACCAAAATTTATTAATTTATATAATAAAAAGGCTGGCATTAACTTTACTTTATAATTTTTTGGCTCTTTATGGTATGATAATATTACCTTAAACCTTAGCTGGAGGGTAATGGAGGATACAGAAGAGTAAAGGAATTATCTTTAAATTTTTTTTGTAAATAAATTTGTAAATATGTATATTTAATCAATACTGTATTCTTTCCTTTTACTAATAAAGGGCTAACTCTTTTCAAAAGTCTCAATTATAGCCCGAACTGAGTGAAGATTTTAATCTTCTTCTATTTTCCATACTTTTAGCCAGTATTTAGTAAAGTTTTGATATGCCAGTATTTAGTACAGTTTTGATCTACCAGTTGAAATCAAGTTTATTAAAAGTTTCAATATTTTCTTTCTTTAAATTTAGCTTTTAATAAACATTTTTTAAGAAATTTTGGGAAATTTATGGGAATTTCTTTTTTAAACTTACATTTTCTTTCTTTAATTTTAATAAATAAAAACTTTTTAAGGAATTCATTTCAGAATTTAAATTTTACTTGAAAAAATTTGAGGAATTTTTTAAGACTTTTAAGACTTTTTTTAATTTAAAATTTTACTTTAAATTTTTTTTAAATTTTAAAACTTTTCAGTTTTACTTTATTACTTTTTAATTATTAATTTTTAATTTTTAATTTGGAATTTTCACAAAAAAAATTTTTTTTCACTTAATTGCATTTACACAATTTCGCAACAGAACACACATTTAACTTTACAAACAAGTTTACATTTATTAATTCACAATTACCACTTAACTCTACTTCAATTAGAGTACTATTTTTATGATATTTGCAGAGCAAACTTACATCTCTTGATTGGCTCAGCTACTAAACTCCCTACCATAAATAAATGGTCAGTTAAAATTAAAACTTGAATTACATAATTTTTTTCTTTGATTTTTTTCATTGATTTTTTCTAGATTTATATTATTTAAATTTTTAATTAAAGTTTACAAAATTTTTAATAAACAAAGATAGCAGCTTGGCACTCAACTTTACTTACATTAGCACCATCTATATTATTTGCAGAACACACTTATATCACTTAGGAAATACTTTTGCAGTATTTCCTAAGTGATATAAGTGTTATGGTTTATGGTAGGTAAGTTAGAATTAAAACTTACTATTTACTTGCTTTTAAGTATTTTTCAGGTATTTTTTATGTAGTATTTAAGTATTTTCTAGATATGAAATTATTTTTTTAAGTATATATTGTTTTTTTTTATATAAATTATGAATTAGTTCTTTTTAGTTTCTTATTGGTTTTTATATATTATGTCTAGTTCCTTTTTAGTTTCTTTTTGATTTATATGCATATTCGAGATGGGGAGGTTTCTGCAGACAAGGGTTTCTAAAATGCATTGGTTTCTGCATATTTCTCAAATTACTTCATTATTGGTATTTTCCTTTTAGACCTTTAATTTTTAACTGCTAATTTCTCAAGGTACCACTTTATTAGTATTTCTTTTTGGACATTTTTTAAGGAATTTTTAGATTAATTTTAATTTGCTAAATTGTGAATTTATTTTCATGGTTTGGTTTTGTACTTGATTTACTTGTGCTATCTGAATTTAAATGATATTGTAGATTAGTTCAAAAATTAAATCTTTTATATGTTTGCACATTTTTTAATTATTTTGACTTTAAATTTTTTTAATTATTTTAACTTTAAATTTACTTTTTTACATATATACATGATTGTTAAATTTTAAATTTAATTCCTTGCAGCAATGGCGCAAAGAATTAATTTAATTTGTATTTAAATTCAATTTATTCTTTTAAACAATTATTATAAATATATTTTATATATACAGTCAAAAGTGGTTAATACAACTCATCAGGACTTTGGCGATTCTGGATTATCGATTTTTCCGGATTATACATCATCAGTTTAAATCTGGTAAGATGGCATGCAGAAATTCTAAAATTAAAAATATGAAACCGTAATTTATGAAATAAAGAACAATTATGATCTAAAGGGTATCAAAATTTACAAAAAAAAAAGCTTAATATTTATTTGTTTCCTTTATTAAACATTTCTTTCAATGTAAGTTTTTTAAGTTGCTTCATTTTATGTGATAATACTTTCTCTTTAATTCTATAAACAGACATAATTTCTTGTTCAGTTACAAAGTTTCACTGTTCAAGTCCCATAATTGCTGTGCTGAGAATACCGACTAACTTGTGAATCAAAATTTTTTTGTTTTCAATAACCTCTGTGTCACCTTCTTCACTATTGGAAGCGAATTATAATGACAAGGAATTTGATTTAAATCATATCAAAGATGGAGTACATCGAGATGAAATACTACATTTAGTAAGGAATTATAAACCAAATAAAATAAAAACATCTGCCCTGAAGATAAGGATAGTGCTGACAAATCAACTTCCAATTCATTGCGTGCCGTTGCGTCCCCCCCCCCCCTGCAGAGCAGTGTGAAATTGATTAACAGATTTTGCAATGGTTAGAGAAATAAAGGATATGCCTTTATCCATTTTTTGCAGCAATTCCACTTTTTGTTTGATGGACATCGGAACATGCTTTTGCTTTGTAGAAACATATAGCATCTTTTTTTGTTTTTTACCTTTTGTTTAATAAATAAGCTTCCAAATAAGTCAAATTTGATTTGCTTCTAACTCTTCCTTTGCCTGATTTTGTATTATCCTTAATTTATGGACATTTGGGAGCTCCAGCATCAGAAATTCTATTCGACATAATCGAAAGTTCAAGCTTACTTTTATAAAATTGCTCTAACAGTCTGCAAAAAATAATAAGCCAGATCCAATTTGAAGATTAAGGAACAATGCAATCTGCAACATTAACTGAAATAGATAATTAGATAATTTTAGCTTATACCGTTCGCTATACATTAAAGGCGCATGCGTAAACGTATTATGCACAGCCGTAACGCCTATGCGCATGCGTCAGCGCAGAAAGTTTGTAGCTTTGATGTCCGTATTATAGATCATTCCGGATTATGGGTGTCCGAATTAACGACTTTTGACTGTACTTGAATGTATGTGTTATATATACACTCATGTCCATAAATTAAGGATAATTCGGAGTCACGCGGAAAGCGAACACTAAAATAAATATATCACCTGTAAAATCACTACACACATCTTCACGAATCATATGCAAATTTCAGGAAGTAACCAGATGACACCAATGGTACGTCACAATAACGAGAGTGTAAGAGAGTGATATATAAGGAATACAGGCAAAGAAGTAAAATTGTTCGCAGGCACTTTATAAGCATTTTAGTGCAATAATTGAATAGTTATGACACAAAGGATGCATTTGGATGATTTTTTACATGGTAGAATTATCAGCCGTCTGGAATGTGGGCGTACCCAACTAGAAGTATCAGACGAACTTGGAATTGCCCAGAGTGTCATCTCCAGGCTTTGGCAGCAATTCCAAGATGATGGTAATGTGAGTAGAAGTTACAGTGCAGGTCGCCCCAGAGTTACAACGCCGAATGAGGACCGGTATTTGGCAGTTACTGCCAAAAGAAACAGGCAGAGCACAGCCTCAGACCTGTCTCATCAGCTCTCTTCAGTCACTGGTATGACAATTTCAAGGCAGACCGTGTACAGACGCTTAGGGCAGATTGGTCTATATGCTCTTAGACCTGTCAGATGCATTCCACTTACTGCAACTCACTGTCGCCTGCGGTTAGCCTGGAGTAGAGAGCATGCATTGTGGACACCGCAACAGTGGGTTTGTGTGATGTTTTTCGACGAGTCCAGGTTTAGCTTGCAGTTTGATTCTCGCTGGACTTTCATATGGAGAGCTCCAGGTACCCGTTACCACCAAGAAAACATCATTGAACGACACCGTTACAGTGGTGCAGGAGTGCTCGTTTGGGGTGGAATTATTCTGCGTTCCAGAACTAACCTGCATGTTCAAATTGGGACCATGACGAGCCAAATCTTATTGGGACGTCATTCTGGAACAACATGTACGTTTGTTTTGAAGCGCCATGGGCGCACAATTTGTGTTTATGGATGACAACGCCCGTCCTCACCGTGCAAACATCGTAAGTGAATGCCTTCAATTGGAGGATATCACCCGTATGGACTGGCCAGCATTCTCAACGGACTTGAATCCAGTAGAGCACGTATGGGACATGCTTGGCCGACGAGTTGCAGACCGTCAACCTCCTCCTACATGTCTACCGGAACTTCGGAGAGCATTGCTTTTTGAGTGGTGTAATATCCCCCAAGATCAGATCGATAATTTGATACTCAGCATGCCTAGGCGTTGTATGGACTGTATTGCATCGTCTGGCAGACATACAATGTATTAACAATCATACCAACCATGTAATATTGGTTTTTTGTAAATAGGTTTTTTTGTTTTGCTCCAGGGAAAAAAAAATCGCTAATTTTTTAATAATATCAAACATATAGCATCTTTTTTGGTTTTTTACCTTTTGTTTAATAAATAAGCTTCCAAATAAGTCAAATTTGATTTGCTTCTAACTCTTCCTTTGCCTGATTTTGTATTATCCTTAATTTATGGACATGAGTGTATTTATATGCATATGTGTATAAAAAAAATTTTTTTAAACAAAATATAAAAATGCCTAGTCTTTGCGTGCATTAAGCTGCTGAAAAATTCACAAACACCAAAATTTAAAATTCATAATTAATTAATTTCAAAAAATCCTAAAATGCAATAAAATGTTTTAAATTCTTTTTCTTTTTTGCCCCAGAAAAATAAAAAAATAAAAAAAAATAAAAAAATAAAAAGTTTTAATTCAATATTCTTATAAAAAATGAAATTATTTCATTACCTGAAACGCTCTCAGTAATGCCATATGATCACTGTAAGTGTCACAAGCAAATTTCCTCTTAACCATATATGCCGCTCTTTTCTGGCCAGGTTCAGATGGTAAAAGAACTACAAAAATTTGAAATCTTATTAAATCTTTAAGACAATTATATAAAATATTACAAAATTTATTCATGAAGTTTTACTTACAATGCTATAAAATATTTATATCCTGTTATAAGGTTAAACAAAGCATTATGTTGCTGTATGGTGTACAAATAAATACATCATATCTTTTTTTAATAAGTAGAGCTAGTAATTGAATGCTATTCTAACTCTTATCACCAGGAGTAGTTACAGAATGTAACACAGAAGACAAAATATATATATATTGAACTCACTATCATTCTGTTTCAACCTAAATTTTCACTCATTCTGAAGTATTATAGAGCAGAATGAATATAAGTTTGACATGACTAGAAAGTTCAAAATGAAAGTAGCACATTTTGATAAATGGGGGTGAGTAAGTATGAAAGAAAGGATGCTTTAATTCTAGAACCACAATTACTCTTTCAGAAAAATAAAGTGAATCAAATTTGGAAAGATAATACTAACTTTTAAATTATTTAATATTTAGATTTAAGAATTTCAAACAAAATGCATTTTGAAAGCATCTAATATTGATCTCTCCCCTTTAAAGAATAATATTATTCGGTGCTCTTTTATAGAATATCATTGCTTAAACAAATATTTAAATAAATCAATAAATAAAAATTTCGGTATTATTAAGATAAATCAGTAGAAAAAGAAAAGAAAATGAGAGGCTATTAAACTGAGAAGGTTGAAATCAAAATTAAAATTCAGAACTGAAGCTGAAATATTCTGATGATTGTTTAATGAAATATAATCTATCCACTAAAAAAAAAATAATTTAAAAAAATCAGAACAATTTTTAGTAAAATTAAAGAATAGTTAAGGGATCAATAATGATTAATACCAGAAAATCATTATCTCCCTTTTCTGATCTAAATGATGAATCTAATTAATAAAAACCAAAAATCATTCAGAAATATAATTTAAGGAGAATATGGACAATTTTACAGGTAAAAAGAAATAAAATAGCAATCCTATGCAGCAAGAAAATGTTGTTTATAATAATGGCAGAAAGAACACACTGTTATGTTTTAAAATATATATAATTTCTGCATAATATACATATGAAAACAGCTATTCAAGTCATCATGCCTCTTATTAAAAGTATTTTATACATTTAAATAAATTAAAATATAATACTGAATTCCTTTTCTTAAAGTTTATGTTGTTTTTCATTTCAACATTAAATACAGGCAACATTATACATTTTTCGGTACTTTTCCCATTTTGCCGGCGCAAGCGATAAAGTCACCAATAATGGTACAACTGATGCCAAACGGAATATTCTCGCTGGTAACCTTTTATGCATCATTTTCAAAACAAGTCGCAGCTTTTTCTTATCAGACTGGTTGTTTCTTACAATACTGGCATATAGAATACATAGAATTTTTATCAGATAGTTCAGTTTATGTCTAAGGCCATTTTCGGTAATTAAGTCAATTGGGATGCAATCACAGCGCTTATCCGAAGCCGAAAATATAGAAAAGGTAAAGTCAAGGGTTTAAATTCATCCATTCTAATGAGAATGCATTAACGAAGTAGTAAGCACTGCAGTTTTACATAATTTCTGAGTAAGCTATTCGTACGAATTGAAATACTTCTTGCATTTAAACTTGTGTTCCAAATTAAGATTTAACTTGAAATGAATGTAGTAGATATTACTGAGAGCATTAGATTTTTGTAGAGTAGTTTACGTGAGATGAGATCGCTCGGGGTCACGTGATATGAACTGGCGAATCAGGATGTTGAACCAAGAAAGCATAGTAAATTCTTAAATTAATGTCTTTTTACAAATTTATTGTCTTTATTTATTGGCTTTTTATAAAATTTTAAGTGATATTAAAATGTTTATGCCTTCTTTTTTTAAAAGAATTCTTAGAACTAATATTTTTTAAATATTTTTTATATGTATACTGTATGTTGTCGCCAATAAAGTCTGCTTGGCGAGATTTGCGCCGGCGAAACAGAAAAGTACCCATTTTTCTAACAATTTTGTGTGCCTGAAATTTAAATTTTACTCAGTGTATCATTACAGCTATTCTTTCCCAAGTGAATGTATTATTATTTCCAATACTAAATTAAAGTTAACTTTTTTAAGGAAATTTATATACTCTGTTCCCCCCCCCCAAAAAAAGTCAATTCTATCTCATGTTCTACTGGGCTGATTGACTAAATTGAAATTGCATTTTCATGTCTTGAAAGCACGACTTAGGATACATATTAGATTTATATGTAGATATTAGATATATTATTCCAACATAGGTATTTTGGCACAAAATCAGACTTTTTCTGAAATGACATGCCAATTTTCTTCTATATTTCGATTTTACGACTCAAATTATGCCTAAATATTGAATTTTGTAAAATTTGCTACGAAATTTATAGAGAAATTCAAACATTTATTTTGCCGTATTTTGTTCAGTTTTTGCCAAGAATAATTTACTTGGCAATCTTCTTAACTTACAACCCATTTTCCTATTATATTTTTTTCATTGTAAACGAGCAGAAAATAGTCATCCTTCATACTTTCAAATAATTTTAAAAAGTGCATATTATCATTTGGCATTATTATCACTAAAAAAAAAGATGCCAAATTTCAAAATGCTCCAATATGTAAATTCATGTACATCTTATAAAATTTTGAATAAAAACTCTAATTTTTTTGCAGATATGCCTAAAAATACATCTATTTTGAGATGATATTAAAAATTCTGTAGGTTATAATACAATTTTGTTTCCAAAAAATTTATAAAAACTATTTAAAAATACAAATTTTAATCATAAATCATAAAAATGTACGAATTACATTTGCATGAAGCCTAAATTTCGAATTCTGGAAAAATGGCTCAAGTTTAATTAAAAAAAAAAAAGAGAGAAATACTAATAAATATATATCAGATTCAATTAACATTGAGGAGCTAAAATTTTTTAAAAACTACTTGGGGAATTTTTACAGAACTTGACAGTTTGGCATAATTTGAGTCGTAGAATCAAAATATGGAAAGAATTGGCATGTCATTTTGTGTCCAATTTTGTGTCAAAATACCTATATTAGAACAAAGCTATATATCAATCTAATACATATCCCAAGTCGCACTTTTGAGACATGAAAAATTAAAAGTTGTGTGTTTGATTAAAGAATGCTTAAACACAGTTAATTATTGTATCATTAGTGTTTTAAACTACTTTTCTGGCAACAGCAAATTTTGCATATCACATGAGTAGCTGTTATTATCCTCAAAAAAAAATTTTAATAGTTATCCAGACAGATGCATGGAATTATAATTCTTGGAACAAAGAAGCAACCAGCCGATACTTTCTAAGCTTTCACATTTACTGACTACTTCACAGTTCTTTCATTTTAAAAATATAATGGCAAAAATATGCCTTGGCCTTGCCTTCACATGGCATGGGAAATTTCATCCGAAATGGTGACCCAAGCTTTTTGGATAAAGGCCTTCAATCGAGCTTTCCCTCATGATTTGCAACATTACAATTCTATCTTCAGGACCTGGACTGATCCTTGATAGAATTTCAGATCAAGCAAATTTGGGACCCAGATCAGAACTTGGACTCCTTTTTAGCAAAGCAGTGGCAGTGTGCAATATATGACTTGATGAGATCTTGTTGGCAAAATACATATCCTTGTTGTATCTCTCTTGATGAAATGATATTATTGAAAGTAACAAATGCTTCAGTGCACACTTAAACAAAAATTGGAAATTTAAGTTTTTGCCTCAAACACTTTTTGGCACAGCCTTCATCCAGTTGATGGACAACTCACAACCACTGTACATCCTCAATGGACTGCTAAAATGCAATGGACTGCAAGTTAAATACCATTTGCCAGTCAATTTCATTCAGATCAAGAGATTACTCGCACATGCCAAAAGTTTCTTTCACTGAACTGGAATCAGCCAAGACAAACAGAAGTTGTAGTAAGCTATCATTTGTTAATTTCATTCAGCTTCATTTGGATGCACACACATTTATTGTCTGAACACTTTAAGAAGAGTAATGCTTCCAAAGATATTACACAAGATTCCTTAATAGTTATTTAAGTATACTTTTACTGTAAAACATAGCTTTCATAAAACATACAGGATACTTTATTTTTAAAACAGAATTTCTCATAAATGCAAGTAAATCTGTATTTTTTCAAAATTTGTAAAAGCTTTGCTTAAATATACTAGTATTAGTTCGTTGCCACAAATAAGGCATTCTATCAAAATATTTAATTTAACTACGCTAATAGTAAGTTTCATCCTAAAATAATTTAAAACATTTATTTAGAGTTTTAAATTTCAAATTAAAAAATAGTGATATAAAAGTTATTATTTCTAAAGGAACATCACTAAATTTAAAAGTGAATATAGAAAACAAAATAATTATGCTTACATGGATCACGGTATGCCAAACAACAAACAATAGTAAGTACAGGATCCAAACACTTTAGAACTACAGAATATAACACCATTTTTCCAAGCCTTGGTTCAATTGGCAAATCAAGCAGATGTAATCCCAGTTCTGTTAATTCTTCCCAAGGATCAAGAGCATCAATGGTCTGTTGAGAAATGCATGAGAAAAGTATAAAAATGTGGGAAAAAAGGGGGGGTAAAATAGTTTTACGCTGAACTCTGCATTTTTCATTTGAAAAATCAGCACACAAGAATTATTTTTGTACCAACTACACATAAATGTCACATATATGGAAATTAATTAAAAGATTTTAAAACTTTGCTCAAGCATCAGTAGTTACAAAGAAATGAGATGCTCAAGATCAGCTAAGCATACACAGACTGGAAAATGTTGATGCAATTTTAAAGAAATTACATACATTAATTTCAAATATACAGATGTCATATAAAAGACACACACATATATATATATAAATTTTGTAATTGTTATATACAAACGATAATCACCTTCAGTAAAGTTACTGCATTTCTAGTAACCATAAAAGGTGGAGGATCAGGTGCCTTTGCCAAGAAGTCAGCTATTGGTGCATTAGGTGGAGCAAGAAGTTTTGCCTGCAAACATAATTCATGAATAGGAACTCTGAGAATTTCAGGAACTTGAAATTTCTGAAAATTGTTGAAACGCAGTCGACTGTATAAATGATAACACAAGCCTGGTCGACAACGACCAGCTCTGCCTCTTCTCTGTATGGCACTTGCTTTTGATATCCAACCTGATTTCAATTGAGTGACACCAGTTAAAGCATCATATGTTTTCTGAAAAAAAAAGTGATTCTTCAGACATTTTAGAGCATTAGAAACATAGCAATAAAAAACAAAAAATAAATACTTTTAAAAATCTTTCACTTAACCATTTAATTTTACCCTTTTCTCATAATTAAATAAAAATTTTATATTTCCATTTCTTATTTAAGTATGCAGACTTAATTGTATAAAGCAAACAAATAGCTTTAAAATTACTTATAAAGTATACAGAAGGTATTCAACCACACTTTTAACATACCATATAATGTAAAATGCACATTTATTCAGTCAAGTCATTTCCATTATATGTATGCACATAAAATAAATAAATGTATGCATGTACTTAGCCTTTGGTGCATAATTTCCATGCCATTTGGTTAGAGGGTGCTCTATATACTTCAGTAGTTACTGACTAGCAAGATGCAAAGTGTGTCAGATGTGGAAGGCTGAGATAGCCTAACGACATAGCATCAGTTATTTAATTAGTATTATCTTTGTTAATAAATTTTGATACATTAATTTGAGGAGCATTCCTGCATCATTATTCACACTGAATCATAAGATGCAATACTAATGCATCCTTGTCCAGAACTGGAATATGTTAAGTAATTGACCATTGTTGGATATTTAATTCTAAAAAGAACAAAGTTTGGATATTTCACCAATTTCTGTATTCCAGGATGTGCAGTTAAAGTTGCTTTGAACTTACAAAATAGTTGAAAAGAGAAGTAACATTCATACCAGTGTTACTACGCTTGCTAAAAGAAATCAAAAGCTCAACGAAGTTGTCGAAGACTTAGTTTCATTATCAGAGTGCTGGAACTTTAACAAACGAAAAAAACTGATTCTAAAAAGCCATGATTTAAAGGTAGAACCACTCATAGATGATCCAGGAAAAAAATTAAAGGTTTGGAAGAATATGATGACAAAATATTGTCTACTAAGATTAAACTAAACAGAAAAATTAAGGAATAAAAAGCATAAAAAAGTTCAGCGAACTCAATACACAATGCGTCTAGTATTTTGGAAAATACCGTAACAGTTTTAAAATTACCTATGCTAAAAATTCGGTGATTCTAGCAGATTTATGAAATTCTTAAATTGTTTTGACAGCACAGTCAGTTCAAATAATTCTCTTGCAAAAATTTAAAATTTCCAGCATTTAAAAATCTTTTTTTTTTTTTTTTTTTTTTGTTCTGCCCCTGTGTCTAATGTTGTTGGTGGTTTTGAATTAAATGAGAAAAAATTATGGTTCATGTCTCTGATTCTATTACATATTCTTACATGATAAAATTATTAAACCTCGAGCTCTTGAAAACTGTTTCTTATGTTAAAGGTTTATGTTAATCATATGATAAAATAGAAGTAAATTAAAAAAATTTCTTATTTAATTTATTTCATTAAATGTTACAGAAGTCTCAATTAGGTATTTATTGAATCCAATGAAGTTAACACAAGATTTGATTTTAAATTTTCACAGAAAATGAAATGGGGAAATGAACTGTGAGGTTTCAGAAATCATCACACGTTTGAGAAAATAGCCAAAACTGTGACAAGTTCAAACAAAAATTTTAAAACAAAACTATCCTTTTCATAAAATTATCAAAATGGTCACAATTATCACAAAACATATTCAAAGTCCAAAAGTATATCAATCATTTCAGCATTAAATACACACACCAAAAAAAAATGTTCATTTTGTTATGATCATCACGATTCTATAAATTGCAAATTGTTGGATTTTAGAAAAAAGAATAAATAAGCTAAAGATTGAATGCTGATGCTGTTTTAAAAATATCACCTGTCCCACAAATGTAAAGCAAAGGCTGCACATTAATTATGTTTTAGTAAATTTCATCATTAGTCAATTAGAAAAAATAAGCCCATTATTCCTACAATGAGAGATTCTAAGAAGTATGTTGAGAGTGAAGCTGTTTCAAATGACTCATAATCTACTTCTGATAAATATGACAAGAATAAATCTGTGTCTCATAGTAATATTTGTATAAAAAAAGGGCCTTCTAAAAACATACACAGTTTTAGCATATTCAGATAAAAGATGTGTTTTAACTAATCTTATTTTAGATAGTAGCAACCATAGAAGCTTCATGTGATATCAATTGATAAAAGAATTAATATTAACACCATTACACTATGAATGGGTAGCTATTTTGGCTTTTGGATAAAAAATAACATGTGAGAAAGAATTTGGAACTGTTTCATTAACACTCTGCTATAAGCATCAAAGTTTGCAATTGTATGGATTAACTGAAAGTATCTCTAATTTGTCCTTAAAAATTCCAGATGTGTCTATTCGCAATGCGTTGAAAGAAAAGGGATTAAATTTGGCTGATTCATATTCGGACGACTGACAGACCAAAATTCTAATGGGGTGTGATTCATTTTGGGACATTGCTTATGATGAGAGAGGAGAGAGGAGAGTAAAATGAAAACATAACTGAAATTAAATTTTTTTTAGCTAGTTGCTGGCAGGAGTGGAAGGAAGTAATAAATTGACTGAAAATTATGAAAATGTATGTTTACTCATGGATGGTTCTTTAATACTGTGCAATTTGAAAAAATTTAGGGAGATAGAAGATTTCCAGTCTGAAAAATAAAACTTTTATAAAAGTGAAAAATCAACTGATTGCAAAATATGACAATTCTCTGGGATTTAATGTGGAAGGGTATGTCTATAGATTAATATAGAAAGAAAATATGGAACCTGCAGTTGGTATTATCTCAACTCTAATATTGAGATTGAAAACTGGTGTTTTGATTTGCTAAAGCACAAATTAATAAAAAACCAAGAAATTTATGACCAATATAAACAAATTATAATGGATCAATTAAAATATCAAACAAATTATATCGCATCAATTGTGGAAAAATGTGTAAATGAGGATAAAAATTCAGGATATTTTATGCTCCAGACAGCGGTAATCAGGGATGATAAAGAAACGACTTAAGTTAGAATTGCCAGTGATTGTAGCAGCAAAGCAATTGAAAATAATACATCTTTAAATGAGTTTATAGAATCAGGGCTTAAATCTTTATGCAAATTTATTAGATGCAATTCTTAAATTTTGAGAAAACCAAGTTGCATTTCATGGAAATTTTGAGAAAGATTTTCTTATGACAGAAATTGTGGGAAAGATAGAAAATTTCTTAATTTTTATGGTTACTAGAAGAGGTAGGTGATTATTCAACTCCAATTCTTCATTTAAAGCATCTCCTATTAGGTTTAACAACTTAAACATTTTTTCTGGCTTATCTTTGATATTTCACATTAAGAAATTTAAACAGTTTCACCCAAAATATTATGACATGTAAAATTCTTGTCTTTATGCTGCCGATGTATGTTATGGGAGCCAGTAATGCTTGAGATACATATCAGCTAATCTCTATGGCAATAGAGATACTAAAAGCAGCAGGATTTTATCTGAGAAAATTAAAAACTAATTGTCCAGAACTATGTAAGCTTTGGAATGAAAACAAATAATATAAGGAAAATTTGATTTCAGACAAGGGACAGGCGTCTTGTGATTGAAGTGGGATCTGAATGAGGATAAAATTAAATTGGATTTGAGAAATGCTAGGGATTCCACTGGTGCTAGAAACACTAACTGACCAAATGGAGATTTATTGATCCATGTGGAGTGATTAGTCCCTTTGTAATTACAATGAAAATTCTCTTACAAGAGATGTGGGATTGCGGTCTAAAATGAAAGTAAGATTTACCAACTGACTTTAAATAACTGGAGGGCTTCGTGATCTGGACTTTGTGATCTTGAAACAGTATTCATTGAAAAAAAATTTTTTGAAAGTGCAGAAATAAATGAGATTTCTCTTCCTGAGTTTTGGGATGCCATTCCTAAAGCATACAGGGCTGTTGCATTTCTAAGGTACATGAATTGAAATGGCCAATTTAAAGTGAACTTTATCATCACAAAAAGTAAAATTGCTACATTAAAAACTCTGACTCTTGCAAGATTAGAGTTGATGCTGCAAATTCATGCACTTCCTGGTGCAAATTTAGGAAATTATTTACAAGGTCTCTTTCCTGACTTTTCAAAACAAATTTTCTAATGGAATGACTCTCAAATTGTTCTTCATTTTTTAAAAGAATGGCAACCATTTGTAGTCACACTGATTCTAAATGAGTGTTGGAACATCACAGTGGCTTTAACCATTCTGCAGACCTCAGTACAAAAGAAGAATTGGCTAAAGAAGATTTATTTGTGATCATGTTGTGTCTGGTTAATTCGGCCAGTTCATTCATGACCTAGTCAAGAATAACTACTTATTCTTGATGGCATCCGTGACGAAGACTTAAGAGTAAATGAGGATGGACTGTGCCATTTAATTCCATGGTAATCAGTTCATGTGGTAGAAATTTACCTCTATTTTTATTGAATGTTCAGTACTTCAGTAAACTAGGCGGACTGCTGCACATTTAAGAGATCAGCACACAATTCTAAATCTGATTCTTCAAAATTAAATAGACATATATGAACTCAAGAACTAAAGGAATCTTTGAGTTTTTGGATGAAAGTTCCTCAATTCAAAAACTATGGTACAGAGGATACCCAATTTCTCTCTAAAGTGACTATTGACAATGGTTCACACATATTTCATTTGAATTCCAAACTTGATGACAATAATTTATTTCATTTGAAGGTGTGTTTACAGTTTTCAAGTAACAAAGTAACAGCCAAACATCCTTGGTCTCTTCCATCTAGTGAAAAATTTGTTGAGCTACTCATTATGATTCTCATACTAAAATATGCCATTCAAATGTTGATGCAACTTTAACACATTTACGAGGAGCAATTTAAGATTGTAAAAGGTAGTCATTTTGTGAAAAAGTGCTAAATAACTGTTTGATTTGCAGACATTCCAAAGTTAAACTCGGAATGCAAATGATTGCTACATTACCACTTGACAGAACTCAAGAACATCCACCATTTCATGCATATGATGTACATTTTACCTGATTTTAATTCAAAGTGTTATTTTATTTATATTTGGCTGAGCAGTGACAAGAGTATTCACTTAGAATAAGTTCTCCACTTGCTGGAATGCTAGAGATTAATTTCTCAGGAAGGATTATGTTCTACCATATATTCAGATAATGCCAAAGCTTTCAAAATAGCTAGTTGTGAATTGATGGTGGAAACAGAAAGATCATAATCAAGTTACATTTGCTTCAAAGAGTGTAGTTTGGAATTTTATAGTTGAAAAAAAGACCATAGTGGGGTGGTTTCTGGGAAAGACAGATATGAAAAGTTAAAACTTGCTTAAAGAAAACTGTTGGACAATCATCTCTTTCTCTGAAACAATTGGAAATGGTTTTCCTAGAAATTTGAAGCAATGGTTAATTCCAGACCTATTGTGTATCTATCTGTACAATGAGCCCTTAGAACCCTCTTCACTCGCCCCATCTCATTTTTCCATTGGAAAAAGGTTGGTGTCTTTATCTGAATTTGTTGGTCAATTTTCGAATTCCTTGACTTTTTCCGGTTTTTCATGTAGCATGGTAATTTCGTTTTTAGAATTTTCAGTAGCTAATGGAATTCACTAAGCTAATGAATCATTGTGGAAATCACTCAAAATGTGCAAACTATAAGAAAAGCCTAGTAACAATGACAGCAACTTTCTCAGATATATTATCACATTTTATTAAAGATAGCAATTTAAGTGACAAAAAAAATCTCCACAGCAGTTAAAGAAGCCAATTTCATGTTGCTTTCACAATTTCAGCTTTAAGTCAACTAACTCTTTGTCTAAATTCATTTTGAAGCCCTTTAAAACAAAGTGAAAAATACTAGTAACTTCTTAATAAATAAGGTATGTTGAAGTATTTTTAAAATTTTTCAATTTACAGTTTGAACAAAATGACAAACAGACAGCATGATAAGTGATTATGAGAAAAATAATTTTAATCATGTTTTAGTATCAAATACCATTATTTGCATTTTCTTTTGATTTTGACAATTGAATAAGTAAAAATGCAACAAAAATGTACATGAGGTGCATTTAAAGCACTAACAGTATTTAAAAAATCAAACAAAAAATTTAATCAAAAAAAAATTTTAATAACTCATTGCTTTTTGTTAAAACTTTTATATTTAGTTTTTGTTAAAACTTTTATATCAAGTATTAAATCCTTTAGCTCGTCACATGTGGAGAAACAAATTTCTAATGTCTCTATTTTCAATTCAATTATAATATATTTTTCATGAATAATAAGCATATGCAAATATTGTATAAAATAATGAATATCAAATGATACAATCATGTTTTTATATAATTAGCAGTTAAATCAATGAATTAGATTACATTTCAAAGAAAAAAATAATGTCAATTTTACCTCCTTCACTTTTCCACAATCTATTACAAACACAACATCATTAATGGTAATGCTAGTTTCAGCTATATTTGTAGATAAAATCTGAAATTTAAGAAAAAAAAGTAAATATATAAAATGTGTGATGAAAGAATCGCCATATTTCATAAATTAACTAATAAGTAAAAACATGAGGTAAAATACACTGTAAGAGACACTGATCCATTAGTGAACATTCTGAACTTGAAAAGCTAAACATAAAAATGAAGATTATCCCAAGTTTTTCAAGGGAACTGTTACAAAAAATTTTTTCCCAACTATTTTTGAAAGAATGAAAAGAAAGGACTTATTGTTCAATTTTAACGTTACGCAATTTTTGTCTGGCCGTGGTAAATTTGAAGTTTATCTCGAACGATTAAAGCCGATGTCTTCCAATTTGTGTTATTACAATCTTTGTGTTCAGCAAAATGTTTTCCACCTGCCTTTTAATTGCCCATTGCTTGATAATGCAAGAAATCTATTGAAATGCAGATTAAAATTAATTTGAATTCATTGGCTGCAAACAAAATGTTATGATTTTGTATTTTCACCTTCAGCCTAACAACCTTTTGACGAATTTGTAGATTTTATTTTAAACACTATATATGATCTCGATATACAGTCAAAAGTCGTTAATCCGGACTCGTCGGGACTTCGCCGATTCCGGATTATAGATCATCAGTTTAAATCTTGTAAGATGGCATGCAGAAATTCTAAAATTAAAAATATGAAACCATAATTTATGAAATAAAGAACAATTATGCTAAAGAACAATTATGCTATCAAAATTTACAAAAAAAAAAAAAGATTAATATTTGTTTATTAAACATTTCTTTCAATGTAAGTTGTTTAAGTTGCTTCATTTTATGTGATAATACTTTCTCTTTAATTCTATAAACAGACATAATTTCTTGTTCAGTTACAAAGTTCCGCTGTTCAAGTCCCGTAATTGCTGTGCCAAGAATATCGACTAACTTATGACTCGAAATTTTTTCGTTTTCAATAACCTCTCTGTCACCTTCTTCATGTCTTTATCCATTTTTTTGCAGTAATTAAACTTTTTGTTTGATGGACATCGAAACATATTTTCGTTTTGTAGATCCTTTGGGAGCTCCAGCATCGGAAATTCTATTTGACATAATCGAAAGTTCAAGTTTACTTTTATAAAATTGCTCTTACAGTCTGCAAAAAATAATAAGCCGGATCCAACTCAAAGATTAAGAAACAATGCAATCATCAACATTAACTGAAATAGATAATTAGATAATTTTAGCTTATACCGTCCGTTATACATAAAACACGCACGCAAAAACGTATTCTGCGCTTGCGCACACGCATATGCGCAGTCGTAAAGGTCTTACGCGCACGTGTAAACACCTATGCGCATATGTCAACGCGGCGCATGCGCAGAAAGTTTTTAGCTTTGAGGTCCGGATTATAGATGATTCCAGATTATGGGTGTCCGAATAGAATTAAAGACTTTTGACTGTATATATATATATATATATATAACTTTGCATTTGATTTCATTGTATTATTGAAAGTTGATGTTATTTACTTATGCTTCTGCTTTTTTTTTACTTACGATTTGTAAGCCTCGTGTGATATTTTGTGGTGCACAAGGATGTCTTTTTTCTTTAAAAAAAAAATCTGATGTGTACATCACATGACTTCCTTATACGGAATATTAAATTATACGTTTTTTTTTTTTTTTTTTTTTTTTTTTTCCTGCATTTCATTTAAACTTATTGGATTGAATTAAATCTACTTTGCCGACAGCACATAAAACACAATAGAATAAATGCATTCTTTAAAATTCATTCTAGTATTTGTTTACCATAGTGCTAGATTCACTTAACAGTATTATATTTCGTTCATATTACAACTCATAATGCACAAAATTTATATCATTTAAAGAATAGAATTATCTAATCGTTGCCACATGTTCTATTCCAAATAAAATAATGAAGCTAGAACGATGTATAAAAGAAATTAAGCAAGCAAAACAAAACAAAACAACAACAACTAAAAAAAAAAAAAAAAGAAACAGTTTTTTACAGATGATTGAGTATTTCTCATTCAATGAATAATTCAGTTCTCAATTGCACGACAAGGCAAAAATACATAAAAACTCTAAATATCTATATTAAAAATTACAGAAGTAAATCTTAAACACTTATTTCCTCGAAAAAATTCCACAAACGGATTAAGCATGGATTTAATTCGGCAATAATAAATGAAGGCCGTTATCTTTGTTGTTGTGAAGCTAAGTTTCTCTAGATTGGCAACAAATCCACTAGTCTGCTGTTTCAAATGTAAACAATCAATGGCCACCATAAAAAAAAGGCTTAGAGGGCACTTAAACAACTTTAAAATTGTTGATAATTCTGAAAATATTGCATACAGATTTACTAAAAGCATAAAAACCTTAACCGGAAGATAAAAACAACATAATTCAATCATTTTTAAAGCAAAAAATGTACAATTAACAAACATACAAGAGTAAAGAAACTGAGATCACTGAGCCGGGTAACAGAGTGGATATATACAATCAAACGTCGTTAATTCGGACACCCATAATCCGGACCTCAAAGCTAAAAACTTTCTGTGCATATGTGTTTACGCTTGCGCGTAAGACCTTTACGACTATGCATATGCGTGTGCGCAAGTGCAGAATACGTTTACGCATGCACGTTTAATGTATAACGGACGTTATAAGCTAAAATTATCTAATTATCTATTTAAGTTAATGTTGATGATTGCATTGTTCCTTAGTCTTCGAATTGGATACGGCTTAATATTTTTGGCAGACTGTAAGAGAAATTTTATAAAAGTAAGCTTGAAATTTCGATTATGTCAAATGGAATTTCCGATGCTGGAGCTGCCAAAGGATCTACAAAGCGAAAGCATGTTTCGATGTCCATCAAACAAAAAGTGGAATTGCTGCAAAAAAATGGATAAAGCCATATCCTTTGTTTATCTAACCATTCCGAAATCTGTTCATCAATTTCACGCTGCTCTGCAGGGGGGGGGCGTCGGGGCGCACAATGAACTGGAAGTTGATCTGTCAGCACTATCCTTATCTTCAGGGCAGATGTTTTTATTTTATTCAGCTTATAATTCCTAATTAAATGTAGTATTTCATCTCGATGTATTCCGTCTTTGATATGATTTAAATCAAATTCCTCGTCATTATAAATATCACGAATACACATCAAATAGTTTTCTGGTTGCAATTTCCTAATTTCAACTATGCTTAATGTACGCTTGAAGCATTCGCGCATTGAAAGAAATGTTTAATAAATTAAACAAATAAATATTAAGCTTTTTTTTTGTAAATTTTGATACCCTTTAGATAATAATTGTTCTTTATTTCATAAATTACAGTTTTATATTTTTAATTTTATAATTTCTGCATGCCATCTTACGAGATTTAAACTGATGATCTATAATCCGGAAAAATCAATAATCCAGAATCGCAGAAGTCCCGACGAGTCCGTATTAACGACTTTTGACTGTATATAAATATATCTATACACGTTTGGTGCGGCCGATTGCAACCAAAATACGAGGTGCACATCTACATGTGCGCTATAGCAGTCCTATAGACAAAATTTCAACGTTCTGAGGCTACTTGTTTTTGAGTTATGCGAGATACGCAAGTACATACATACGTTCGTACAGACGCCACAAAAAATTCTCTTCAGAATTAATTTTAAAGCAGTTTTATAATTTTTTTGGAGGAAACGAGTCTTTTATTCTGTCCTTACATACAGATATCACACAAAAACATCGTTAAATTGCATTCGATAACGGTCAAAATGGATATTTTCGTTGAAATATGCTCCCTGAAACTTTTTGCGATTACAATACTTCCTTTTTACTTCGTACAAGGAAGTAAAAAATAAGTCTTTTTTAATTAATGCAGCATTGTTGCACTAATGAATACCAGTGCTTATGCCTTAGTTTATAAGACTGCATCCGTTTCTTTTTTCTAATATTAAATGACAATTTGACTATTGTCAATTGCGAAATACAAAACTTAACATCCCTTAAATTGTAAAGACGTGTTTGAACCTGGAGAGCTATAACCTGCAGTATTAGCTCACAGCAAATGGGAGAAGTAAAAATGTTCTTTTGTGAGTGAGGAAGATGTCTCTATGATTACATGGCAGATATGTCACTGAATTTTGGATTAAACTTGGAAACAAATATAATGAAGCACTTGAAAGGCTATAGCTGTTACATATAATATGTTATGAAATATTTAACCATGCTTCAATATTTCATTGATAGAAGAACTTTAAGATGGTAACACAAATGATCAACTAAGGCAATTATCCTCTGAGGATAAAGATGTCAGCACAGCACATACATAGATAGAGCAGTAACTGGTATATAAATGACCTGTAAACTATTTGCATGGAACAATGAGAAAGAAGACATTGAATTAGTTCAAGAAATAGTGATTTTGACCCACAATTACCTTGATGCAATTATTATGCAGGACCATGCAACAAGTCGATGATTTTCTGCCTAATATATATTGATGTGGCATTTTTGCCACTTATCTGAAATCAATCTGCCAACATTAGAATGTCATATAAACTCCTTAGACCTAACGGGGTGTGATTTCTGGGTGTTTTTAACACTGAAATGGCAATTATAAAAAAAAGAGGAGAGGTTCTCTTCAGATGAGAAAATGAAAATAACGCACTTGCAATGCTAAAGAAAATGTCACAAAACTGTCTATATCAGTGTTCTTCAACCATTGGTCCACAAGAAATATATGCCCGTCCATGAAATATCCAGCTATCTGTCCAAAACCGAAAGTGTCATCAGCCGACAACCGATATTACAACAGCACCTATATTACAATAACAATAGTTTACTAGTTTATAAAATAATATGATCGATGATGAAAAATATAACAAACTGGGCAACTATGTAACTAATCGCCTTTCATAAATTGCCATGCCGTACACTTAGTACACCAGTAAATGTGCCCCTGTCTGCCTTCAGTATCGCTCATTACTTGAACGTTGAATATTTATCATAGTGTTTAAGGCATCTTAGGTTAGGTTTGGCTTTTTATCTTGCTTACATTCTTCTGCACGCTTGGACAACTGAAAACTATATATCAGCATAAGTTTTTAATAACCAATGAATTAATACTATGCTATAACTACTATTTCTTTAACTTTAGGTAGATTAACCAGGATGAGTAAGGAGGAAACGAAAGGCACATATATTTAAATGTGATTGTAGGGAAATGGTAATAAGAATATTGCAATCAGGGTTGCCACTCAAACAGGAGAATGAAATTCCCTGACTTTTCCAGGTTTTCCAGGTGTGTTTCAAGAAAATTCCAGTCTATCCGCATAATGTACGTTGGCTGTGCTAAGAGGTAAATTAATTATGGTATTACTTGTATTGTGTAGCAAATTCACTTAATTATTCAATAAATCCCAGAGGACATTTATTCTTAATTATTCTTGGTATACTTTGATAATTTTGTTTAGTTTTTCCACTTAAGAAACTTAATAAAATTTAAGATATATACATTGGATAACAAATGTATGTTTATTTTAAAATTATACTCATGATCATCACCAGTTCAACACGAGGCTAATCCGGTCCTTATAAATCACAACGCAATGCTAAATAGTTAGGTTAGATTTTAGGTAAATTTAATTTGCGTGAGGTATGTTCTTAAAAGGCACCTTAACACTTGAAAACACAAATATAATTATAATAGTTTTTGTTTTCTCCACTGAAGATTGAGATTAGAATCTTCCCAATCTGGAATAAAATAAGGCTTTTTTTGCAGACATTCTGCAGCTAAATGAAAGAAAGAAATCTATTTTAATAAATTGAGGTATTTTATATTAATTTCGCAGCATACATAAGGAAAAAATATGTGCATTAAATTTCGTGATGGTATGTCATCATACTGCTATAATTAATTTCAGGATTATGCCAGAGAAAATTTCCTGAAATTCGGAAATATTATTTACTAATAATAAATAAATTTAGAGGGAAGAAGCAACATTAAATTATATGAATAACATAAAAATAATTACTTAAAATTGAATTATAATAATCAACGATATTTTAGCGAATATAGTTATATTACATGGCTAGCCTAGATGACTGATTACTATTTTTTTATTTTACTGCAAAATGGCAAGGTATTTATTAAAAAAAAAAAAAAAAAAAGTTTAAAAAGATTTTGCGGTAAAATTCTAGTATACGGTAAGGCTTTGGCACGATTTTGAAAATTGTCGCCAAGACCAAAATGACCCGTTTACTGCGCATCATGATGTCGCCAAATCTTATTATTATTCTAACCAAAGAACGTCTATGTAAAGAAGAAAAGGTTCCATACAAGTAAAATGCTATTACGCCGCTAGAATGCGGAGGGAAATTTTGCCAAGGGATTTGGCGACGGAACCTGGCGGCCAGAATTTCCCTCTCCGCGATGTGTACAGGAAATTGAGAAACACGTGTTAAGAAACGCTCTTTGACAAAAAGAAAACTACGAAAATCCGTTTTTAAATTATTGCGAAAAATCCAAGAAGAAACGTTTTATCAAAGGGCGTTTCTTCTTGGATTTTTCGCAATAATTTTAAAAACGGATTTTCGTAGTTTTTTTTTTTTTTTTCCCTGAAAATAACTAATTCATGAATTAATTTACTTGCACCAAAAAATATTTTCTTTTCCTTTAGAGTTTAACCACTTGCGCTAAGACTAAACTTCACGATTGCGGTGCCATGCGCTACAATATAACAAGCGGTAAAGTGTCTCATTTACGCCGCTCCGCATCTGCGAGTGCATTCCAGAGCTGTAACTCGAGAAATAAACAATCTCGTTGTTAGGCGACGTGTGCACCACGTTATTTTCATTTTTTGCGATAAATGCTTATCGACGTGGTTTCACGTCGCTCGCGGTTTGAGACAAAAGCATCTCGACGTGTGTGGCACGTGTTTTAGCGCAAGTGGTTTAAAGAAATTTTAAACGATATTCATTTTATGAACTCTTGATAACGTGACCCTTCGAACTTCGACACCGGTTTCGAGCTTTGGCGACAGATATATCAGACATGCACAGCTGTTTCCCTCTATGATGGAACGGAGCCACAGCCACGTCTGTTGCAGAGAGGTTTTCCTTCTTTACAATACATATTCTTTGATTCTAACCTCCATGGTACCGTATACTAGGATTTAACCCATTTTGTTTTATACGAGAACAGGTACTTTCTTTAATTCATGCACTGCACACTGCACATGCGATTCTCGAGAATACTGGAAACCAAACTTGCGGAAAGTTGCTTTGCCTTTCAAAAGACAATCAAATTGGAGCTGCGAAAACTGGCTCTATGCCAGCTACCCGAATGACACTCACGTGATACATAATTCGCCAAAAAAGTTCTCTCTTCCGACGTCGGCGCAAAAATCGCTTTTTTTGGCGGGATCGTTGTATGAACTTCCCTGACTTTTCCAGATTTTGACAAAAATACTTAAATTCCCTGACTTTTCACTGAATATTTTGGTCAATTTTCGAATTCCCTGACTTTTCCCGGTTCTCCAGGTTTTCCAGGTAGCGTGGCAACCCTGTGCAATTAACTTATGTAGTAATTCTTGAATACCTTGTAAACTTTTGGGGGGGACCCACCTATCCACAAATTTTTTCGTAAGTTTTATCGGTCCATGGAACAAAAAAGGTTGAGAAGCACTGGTCTATATGATAATTTAAGGTTGTTCATAAAACACAGTGCAAAGTGTAACTCAGTGTGAAAGATTAAAACATGAGAAAGGTGAGAATTGAGAGGCTGTAGTGTAATGTCATTCTGAATAAGAGGATAATCAATAATTTGAGTCTCAAAACTTTTCAATAAGACCACATAAAGTAATTTTAAATCTATAATTCTTAACTGTAATAATGCAAAAGAATGTCTACTATTGGATTAATGTACACTACCAGAATATTTATATTACTAATTTTTGGTTATAAGTTAAATAGAATTTTAATTCAATTAAAAAAAAAATGTTCATCTTGGTTGGGAAATATACTCATTATACTTACAACTTTTCTAACACCGGGAGGAACAGGTCTGAAAACACGCTTCTGATCTGAACTTTGCATTTGTGAATGAAGAGTAAACAACATAATTCTGAAATCAATAATTCCAGTATTTTAGTGCAAATAAACTAGAAACAAAATCAATAACTAGCAATATAAATTAATAACTAAAGCAAATATAAACTAGTGAATGTATTATTTGGGTAAATAAACAAACAACTAAGATAAGTAATTAACTACAAAATTACATAATACGGAATTCTGATATACCTGCTTTCTGGTATGTTTTGAGTTTCACTGTGAATTCTTTCTCGTAACCGAACAATATCATCATATCCTGGCAAAAATATCAGCACAGAACCTAAAACAACAAAATGATTTTTTTATACAAATTAAAATATTATTCACAAAAATTTTAAATATTTCAGTCTTTCAAATCAAGAATAATACTAGTAACATGCAAAATAATCTAAACAAAATTATAAATATAATTCATGAGTCATCAGAAATTAAATGCACACAAATGAGCAAAGTATAGAACAAAATCTTGAATCATGTTAAATTAAATATGACATAAATTTCAATTTTCATTCAGAAACCAAATTTGGATATCAAGTTCAATATTAACTACCTAAATTAAACTATTTTAAATATTAATAAAAATTACTTATAGTTTTCTCTCATAATAAAAAATAACTTATCTTCAACATTCACAACAAATTCATAATTTCACTTCAATTAAATTTGAATTATTTTTTAAATCTGGCCTTTCCCCGACTTGTTCAGAAATTACATCACTGCAATTAAAAATGCCTGCATAGTTAGGAATACAAAATGAAAAATACATTATATAGCTATGGTATAAACAAGAATATATAATGAAATTATGTTTCTTAAAATTATCAGAAACTGACAATATTAAATACTTAATAAATGAACAGTACTTATGTATTAATACAACCACCTTAGTAGAAACTGCTAAATTTTCAGAATGTGCCAAGCTCTAACAACCATGCACATAACAATTTTTCAATTTTAACAAACAATGTTGGCGTGCTCATATCTAGCCTTTATGCTGTATTCCAAATTCCAACATATTTTAAAGGTTAACTGTATTTGTGTGTGTGTATATATATATATATGTGTGTGTCTTAAACTCAAACTCAATTTTAAAATATTCTCCTAGTGTGCTTCTGCAATGGAAGAAGTGATAAATATATCTGCAGGAATAGATATTTTGCCACAAAATTGCTACAGTGAACAGAAAATGATTGCTGCAAAACTTCAAAAAAAAAAAAAAACTGTACGTAAGTAGGTTTATTGATTGATTTTTGAGACAAATACCTACTAGAAACAAAATATTATGTAATAACATGTTAAGTATGTAATACAGAATTTTTTGCTAAAAATCGTTCTTTTTCTTAAAAAAAAATAATAATAATAATAATAATCGCAAAGTTGTGCCAAGGTGGTTTCACTAATACACAAGTACTAAATTATTCACCATAATATTCTAAAATTTACAAAAAAGATATTTACCATCTTCTTGACTAGCACATATTCGTTGCAGAAGTCGAACTATTAATTCATAATCAATTTTATCTTCATCAATACTATGAGTATAAGCATCTAGTAGCAATTTATCTTCTTCAGAAAGTTCTAGTTGCCCATCTACAGAATTTGTTCCATTCTGAGAGCAAGTATCACCATTCCTAAGTAAAGCACACATATAAATTAGATAAACTGGCCATCATTGAGTGCACCATTATACAACATAGTTTTTAATACAAAGCATAACCCTGAATGTGTTCCCATAAATTTATCATCTAAATACAATTACTTTCTAGAGAAGCTGCCCTGGTCAGTATATATGGCATTTCCTTCCTCTTTTTGCATGCCTTCATGGTGTAATGGTAGCACACTCGGCGTGTATTCAAAATGTCCAGGTTCGAGTCCCTGTGATGGCGTTGTTCATTTTTCATGTACTCCGGCTTCAAAATAACCTAATGGTTAGCAATGATGGCTACCATATCAATAGGCCCAGGTTCAATCTCAGAAAAGACTTAAAAGTTTGTAAGTGTAAAATGCCGTTGTAACATAGAAGCATTTAAAATAGTTGGATAGCCAAAAGTTTTCTTGGATGATTTGATGATAGGGGAAAAGGGTTTGATGTTAGGGGAAGATCTTTGGATTCGTAGTCTGGAGGAGGGATTCTCCTTCATGACTGATATAGAGCTATGCACAGTCATATTTATCACTTATACAATGCCTAAGGCTACACAAACAGATGCAATCTTATACTCCTTGCCAAAATAAAATACATGGTCTAGTTCTGATGTTATTCTCAGATAACCAAGATAGGTCACAATAACAACAATGTTCTACCCACAAATAATAACAGAAAACAATTACTGCAGACAAAAGAACTCGCACATAATGTGTTACCTGATGAACTTGGAACTTTTGAAACTTCACTCTGAGATCTGGATAGGTTGATCTACTTTGAGATCCGTACTGTGTCATGAGAATGCCATGGGTGTAGCAAATTCTTCTCTGATTCAAAACTTATGTAAATGTTTGTATAAAGCCTGAATAACAATTTCTCTTCAATGCTGAATGTTATTTTGGAGCATTCTCTTTGAGTTTATAACAACCTATTTCTTGTGTGTATACAGAAAATCCAAATTCATGCAAACAAATGAAGACTGAAATGAATAAAAGAAACAAACATGTAAAAGAATTTTTTCATCTGTTACATTTCAGGAACATGGGTATTTATAAGGTCTACCTGAAAATTCTGTCCTTTTGTAAAGTGAAAAAAAATAATACACTTTTCATACCTTTAATAATATTTATTGTAATACATAATTTTTGTTGTTACCTATGACCTCTTAACAGTGAGATGGTAATTTGTGGCTACCATTTTTGAAAAATATCTTGTCCTTAGAAGCAAAGAACTCAGATAGTGTTTGGCTGACATCAGCTTCAATTTGAATTTTTTCCCCTTCAAAAAATTTTGCAAGGCGAGAAACAAGTGATAATCAGAGAATGCTAGGTCTGGGGAGTATGATGGATGCAGCAAACTTGTCTAGACTAACTCTGTGATTTTTCTCACAATTTCCCAAAGCAGCATGTGGTATGATGTGCTTCCTATTGAACATATTTGGCCTCTTTTCTTTGACTGCTTTGTCTAAATCATCCATTTGCTGACAGTATCTCTCCAAATTAAGCTTTTTATCAGGTTTCAAAAGATCATAATGTTTTTAGTCCTTGAATATCTTACCACTTACACAGCATTATCTTATTCAGACTCAAGCTTGGTTTAAAGAAGGAGGCAGGTTGTCCGGGCCGACAAAATGCTTTTTTTCTAATGAGGTTTTTGTAGGTAATCCATTTTTCATCACCATTTATCATCCAGTGTAGGTAATTAATTTTTCATCACCATTTATCATCCAGTACAAGAAATGTTCACTTTTGTTCTGAGCAAGTAGAGATGCACACTGTGCAAAAAAAGAAAGGCGGACAGTTCTGCATCTCCCATTCTACTGAGCCGATTGATGAAATTCAAATTGCATTTTTCATATCTGTTTCATAAAGTGTGGATATTTATATAGGATATATATTAGATTTATATGTAACATTGTTCTAACATAAGGATTTTGACACAAAATCAGAATCATTTTTCTTAATTCCTTCTTCTTCAGAATAGTGCAGATTGTGGATTTCAAATGACTGTAAGTCTTTGAAAATTCCGTCACTCTTACACCATGCTTATGTTTATCTATGATTTCTTTCTTAATTTCATGGCTTCCTTCTTTTTATTTGCAGCACTATCTGAGGCAACAATCTTCCTTGAAGGCATCGTGAAATAATTATTTTCACTTTAAATAAATAAATAATAAATTGTTTTTAATAAACAATTGACTCACAAACATAAAAACACATAGCTCAAAGAACGAGTGATCTGACAAGGGGATTCCCTGAGTCGAGCCACATCGGAAAATGGTGCCATGCATATCAACAGCCTGGCTCATTGCTCATTACTCGAGTCCATGCTCGTATTTAGAGACAAATTTTTCACTCACACTTTCCTCGTATCTCGAATTTCTCTTATATAGAGGTGCTCGTATCTCAAAGTTCAACTGCATTATTCAGCTATTTCCCATAATAAAATATTTTATTAAAAAGTATTAATCAGCAAATCAAATAATATGAGAGTTATTCAGAAACTAAGATCTGAATTGCCGTAATTAATAGAACATTGTGTGAACATTGAAATGTGCATGCATACCAACTCCCGGCATGCCTTGCTCGACAAACAATGCAAATTTGCATTGGTATTGTTGCAGTGTGCTGTGTATAGTGTTGGTTCAAAATGGCCATTGATAAGTAAGGCATTGATCAAGTACGAAATACTGAAATATAAGACAACATTTTTTTTTCCAATATACCATTTTTTCTCTATTTGAAGCCTTACTTGTTGCTAAAGAAATATCATTCAAATAATCCTCATAATAAAACACCTTATTTAAAAATTATTAATCAATGAATCAAATAATAAAAGGGTTAGTTGGAAACTATCATCTGAATCACCATAGCTAATCAAACATGATGCGAATATTGAAATGTGCATGCGTACCGACTCCCAGCATGCCTTGTTCAACAAACAAGCCAAATTCACATTGGTATTGTTGCAATGTACAGTGTCAGCTCAAAATGCTTAAAGCAACTAATCAGCATATCGATTGTGAAATACGGTAAGTGATTTGGTTTTTCACAGCAAGAAACATTTCAGCAGCAGAAATTCATACATAAATAAGCTATGTGCATGGCCCCAATGCAATGAGTGACAGCAAAGTACATAAGTGGGCGAGAGCTCTCAAAACTGACGGGAAAATATCCATGATGAGCCACAATCAGGCCAACCAACAATTGACCCAATGCCATAGACAAAAAGATTCATGAAAACAAGCAATTCAAAATTTCAACTTTAGCATTGGAATTTCTGAATTTGGGTATGACAACTTTGCACAAAATTGTCTGTAAACTAGCAATTTCACAAACTGTGCGCACATTGGGTTCCAAGCTGCTTACTGAGAAACACCAAATGAAGTCTTGTGCTCTTGATTTTTTGGACCGATATCGTAAGGAAGGTGATAAATTTTTAAAAAGGATTGTCACAGGAGACGAGACGTGGGTTTCTCACATGACCCCAGAGTCTGTCAGTCAATGGAATGGTGCCACATGACATCAACAGTCAAAAGTCAAGATCAAGCAGACAATCTTAACACGCAAGATTATGGCAACCGAATTTTGGGATAAACAAGGAGTCTTGTTAGTCAAGCTTATACAGCAAGGCACAACAATAAATGCAGTCACTTACTGCACTACCCTGATTAACCTAAGCATGCAGCAACAGAATAACTGACATGGCCTTCTGATGTCAGCAGTTTTGTTGCTGCATGACAATGACAAACCCCATTCTGTCATTCACACCCAAAATCTGATCAGATCTTTAGGATGGGAACAGACTGTCCACCCATCATACAGTCCAGACTTGGTGCCGAGTGATTTTCACTTGCTCCACTACCTAAAGCAGTTTCTCAGTGGCAAGCACTTCACCACAGATGATGAGGTTAAAGAAGCAGTTCAAGACTGGTTATGCTCACAGGTGGCATATGTCTATGACTTAGGCATACAAAAGCTTGCAGAATGCTATGACAAATGCTTAAACAAATATGGAAACTATGTAGAAAAATAGAGAAACATATATGGAATTATATAAAAAATGTTTTGTTTTCGAAAAAAATCTGTGATGGTTTCGGTTTTATAACAAATCGGACATTACTTTCTGAATAACTTGCATAATTTGGACATTCGAAAGCACTGCTGAGATGTTTTGATACATGGTCTTGACAAAAATGGTATTTCTTGTCATAATTTTTTGTTTGAAATGAAAATACATCACAAGAATTATCATCTGCATTTCAAAATTATTACTTGTTCAGAAAAATTTACAGTTCCATACCTGAAGTGGATAGAGAGATTCTAAACTGATGAAATAAATTAAGAGAATTTTCATATTTGATCTATGATTTCCAGAACCACTGGACAGATTTTAATAAAATTTGGTGTGAACATAGGTTGATACAAACAAAATAAACATCCAACAGTTATAATAGACACACATGTTCATGTGCAACACTCATGAGAGTCTGAAGTTAATGAGGGTATGGTTCCCTCTTACAGCCATACAGGCCTCGCAGCGTGATGTCATCCTGGAAATAAGGCAGTATATCATTGCCCGTGGCAATTCGTCCCACTCATTCAGCAACTCTGTTTTCAATTCCTGAATGGTTCTCGGAGGGGGTTGTGAGTTGCAATTGCCCTCCCCAGAGCATCCCAGACATGCTCTATAGATTTGAGGTCTGGAGACCTGGCTGGCCAATCCATCTAACGAATATCCTCACACTTGAGAAATTCGTTGACCAGAAGAGCTCTATGTGGCCTCGCATTATCATTCTGTAAGATGAACTCGGGGCCCACTGCACCCTGGAAAAGGTGAACATAGGGCTCCAAGACCTCATCCCTATACCTCACAGCAGTCACAGAGCCTCTGCCAAAGACATGGAGAAGTGTGCGGCCATCCAACATGATGCCTGCCCAGACTATTACACCACCACTGCAATAAATGTTGATTTCGTGGACATTGGAGGGTAGGTAGTGGGTCCCTGGCTCTCTCCATATGAAAGTACAGCGAGAATCGGTGTTTAGGCTAAAACGGGACTGGTCGGTGAACAGAATGGTCACCCACTGTTCCGTACTCCAATCACTATGTTGCCTGCAACATGCTAATCGGACTCTCCTGTCCATAGACGTAAGCGGGATGCAAACGGCCGGTCTTCTGGCAAACAACTCTCTCTCATTCAGTTTTTTGGAAAGAGTCACCCTTGTTACACGAGTTCCTCTGGCTGCATAAAGGTCCCGAGAAAGCTGAAATGCGGTAGTCCCTCTGTTACGCCTCACTAAAATGGACAAATAGCGATCTTCTCTGACCGTCATCCTGGAAATGGGAACCGTCTTGGACGACCTTGCCCAGGCTTTCTCTCAATAGATCCAGTATACAGGAACTGTTTTCATACATTACACATGACGCTGGGCGTTAAATTAAACTCTCTGCATATCTGGACTTGCGATTGACCTACCTCTAGCCTCCAAAAAATTTGCCACCTCATTCGATCATCTAAACGTTGGTGGTTACTCATTTTTACTGTTCTGATGTGAATTTAACCAATTGCTGCAAGATAACACCAAGAAATTCACCTAGGTGTGCTAGCGAAAGCAATTCGTTTTACCCTCCACACGCTTATAAAGCCTGTTTTTCTGCTGGCTCCACCTACACACACATGTATGCTTATGTATTTGCTATACAAGATTTGCGCATTCTTATCTAGAAGCAGTGGGTTTTCCTTCAGTTCAGATCTTTTCACGCAATTCGATAAAAAATGCAAATTCTTTTAATTTATTTCACCAGTGTATAAATTTATTTAAAGTTCTATTATAAGTTGAATTTTTCACTATTTTAAAGATCGAAAAAGTAATTCAAAATGTCCAAAAAATTCTTGATGTAAAGCACTTAACTATATTTAATGTTATAAAATGATTAAAATCCTGTGGAAATAATGAAATGCACTGAAGTTTGGACTAAATTCCACATTAACACCAATTATTCAAGATTTATCATATGAAAAATCAAAAGACCCTAAAATTAGTGCTGAATAACTTGCAGCAGATTTAGAACAGTTTACAATAAAAGTTAACCCTGAAACAGTTAGAATTATTAGGTCATATATAGATAGAATGGGTTCAACAAAAAGGAAATCCTTTGTCAAAAAATAAAACAATGAAAATGTACATGGTGTTTAATAAGTAAAGATTTATTATGCTGGAACAATGTTATATTTGCAGAGCAGTCAAAATTTAATGATTTATCATATTAGAACAATGCTAATGAGTCACAAAAATTTATATGATTTTGTCTGTTGAATGAATTACTGTTGGTGAAAGCCAAATGAAGAACTGAATCAGAAAAACTTATTGCCTAATGTTATATTTCATAAGCGGGCAGACATTATGGTTTGGAGATGTTTCACTGTTTCTGAGATGGGAAATTTAATTTTTGTAGAAAATATGAATCAGTATAAATATTCTTAATAAAATATGAAAGTATGTCCAAGAGAATTTCGTATGCAGAATGCATTAAAGTTCTATTAAGATAATGATCCCAAACATATACCCTAAATATTTGTGGTTAGTATACAACTGTCTTGAAATTATCAAAACTGCTCCATATTCTCAAATTATTATGAGATTAAATCCTCTCATAGATGCACAGAATGAATTGAAGAAAAGAATAAGAAAACATTATATTTCTTTGAAAGCTCAACTAAAATCAAATTTTATGTAGAAATGGAACAAAATAGAACACTGTTCCATAAAAAGAATTAATTTAACCCATGCCAAAGTGCACGAAAAATGTAATTTTAAAAGGATTTTCAATGAAACACTGAATGTCCCAATATTTTCATGTTTTTATTAAATGTAAACTGTTCCAAATACTTATGCGAGTTCATTTTCAAAACCTTTTGGGTACTTTTTTCCCCAAAAGCATTTTGAATTAACTTTTTTCAAAACAACCAGTTTTAAAGAAGATAATATATGTGAAAGAAAAATAAAATAATTTTGCTAATATATAGCAAATGATATTTGCAAATAAAATTAAAAATACAACAATCCGAAAAAAAATGTGAGCCGCTATAAAACTACTTAGTTGTAGTATGTAACACACTTTTATAATTGCTCAGTCTGTCACAAAACCTTCTGACATCAAGATTGTCAAGCATTAGAATTGACAATCTGTCATAAAGGATAAGCATTTTCTGCCACAACAGATGCAACAACAGTAAGAACTAGTGACTAGCTAGGTCACCTTAAAATAAAAACATCACTGTGCGAAAGATGTTAAGACTCAATCATAAATAGTTTTAATACCAAAAGTTATGGCACATAAATAAGATAACCACTCATCTCATTGAATTATATTTACTGATGGAAGCTGACAATTTATAACACTCTTTTATATATAGCATAAGCATGGAGACATTCAATTTTGATACAAATTGAATCCTAACTTTGCAACATTAATGCCTGATCCCCTACGATGAAGTCAAATTAAAACTTCATTTAATTTACTTCAGGACTATAAAGGAAAGAGAAAGGTTTGAACTGCAATGACAAAATTGTTATTATAATTATTATAAATTGCTAAGACAAAACATTAAAAATGCTACAAAATAATGTTATAAAATAATGTAATAAGTAATAAAAACTTTATCAAACTAGGATAAACCTTCATAAATTGTAAACATTGAAAAACAATAAAATAAAACTTAAAACTAAAAAAAAGACATAAAACTCTAAAATCTCATCTCATAATCTCAAAAAACATAAAACTCTAAAATCTCTATTGGATTAGTTTTTCTTTTTCATAAGTTTAATTTAAAAACATTTATTTTGACAGTTTTATGATGATACCGAGATATTTATGTAAAAAGATGATAAAATGTTACAGCTCAAAAGAGAGATGCAATTTGGATTATTCAGACTAGTTAACTGAAAGAATATTAATGATATATTAGTACATTTCTACAATTAGTTATTATTAGCAGGTTAATAATATAATAATATATTATCTCATTACAATAATTAGTTTGTTTTAAAAGCATATTACAAAATAAGTAGTTCTTGAAATATAAGCACACATTTGCTAATGAATAATTCATATTCTTGTTTTTAACTCTTCAATACTATATCAGCAGTCAAAAAAATTATATTTTAAGCTTTCATTTGCATAATTAAGATACAATAACACGCCGAACAAATATTAATTTAGAAGTCAAACAACAAAATTCGGCGTTATATTTTAAAATTTTCACAGAAAATTTGACTCTGAAAATTCAAAACAAAAACGCTGATTTCTGTTGCTTGACTTATCAAAACTGCTCCATATTATCAAAACTGCCAAATTATCAAAACTGCTCCATATTCTCAGTAAATACTAAATTAATTTTCACTTACATGTTTAACATACCACCAATCAATTTCATTGCAGCATTACATTAATTTATGAGCATCCTTACCTTGCTCAATTAAAACTGACATACACAACTTTATATGAGCTATTCACAAAGGATCAACTATTTTGAAATTATGTTTATTGAATGCAATACAGTACAAAATCCGTAATCCGGACTCGTCAGGACTTTGGCGATTCCTGATTATAGATCATCAATTTAAATCTGGTAAGATGGCATGCCGAAATTATACAATTAAATATATGAAACTGTAATTTAAAGGGTATCAAAATTTCCAAAAAAAATGCTTAATATTTATTTGTTTACTTTATTAAACATTTCTTTCAATGCAAGTTGTTTAAGTTGCTTAGTTTCATGTGATAATACTTTCTCTTTAATTCTATTAAACAGACATAATTTCTTGTTTAGTTACAAAGTTCCACTGTTCAAGTCCTGCAATTGCTGTGTCGAGAATGCCGACTAATTTGTCAATCGAAATTTTTTCGTTTTCAATAACCTCTGTCACTTTCTTCACTATCAGAAGCGAATTATAATGACGAGGAACTTGTTTTAAATCATATCAAAGACGAAGTACATCGAGATGAAATACTACATTTGGTAAGGAATTATAAGCCAAATAAAAAAAAAACATCTGCCCTGAAGATAAGGATAGCGCTGACAAATCAACTTCCAATTCATTGCGTGCCGCGGCGTTCCCCCCGCCGAGCAGCGTGAAATTGTCAATAGAACTTGTCAATAGAAATTTTTTCATTTTCAATAACCTCTCTGTCACTTTCTTCACTATCAGAAGTGGGTATTTTCTGGATCTAGAACCATACTACAGATTTCGCCATTTGTTAATTGACTGATGATTGGAGCATTGTCGTCACAATGAAAAACTTCTCTTATATCATCTTCATTTATTACTACTTCTCCCCATTTCTTTACAAAATCCAATAACTGGAAAATTTCACCTTTAGTTTGCCATGTCCGAAAACCTTAAAATTCGCGGCTATCATCTTCATCGTCCTCTCCATGAAATATGGTAGCTGGCCGTAAATTACGCCAAGCATTTTTTAACATATCTGGAGACACATCCTCCCAATGCGCATGCGTAAAGCATAAAAAAAAAAAAAAGTTTATGGCTTTGAGGTCCGGATTATAGATCATTCTGGATAATGGTCGTCTAGATTACGGACTTTGTACTGTATAAAACATCTTGTTACAACATGGAATTGATATAAAAACAGCAAAATAATGAATATTTTAACTAACAAATAATGAAAATATTAAATGTGAAAACAAACAATACTGAAAATACTTAACTATTGGATTTAAATAATAAAAAGTAAAGAAAATTATAAAACAGTATCAGATAAAAGATAAAATTTGTTTAAATGTAACTATACGGATTAATATGCTTTGGAATTATGGCAAATATTTATATACATATCTTACATACCATTGGCTTCTTAATAACTCTCCAATATCTTTATGTCCAAACTGATATGCCCAATCAATTGCTGTCCAACCATTTGAAGATTTGATATGGACACTAGCCCCCAGGACTAATAATTGCTCAACTACATCAATATTTCCTCTACCTGCAGCTAGCATTAATGGACTAACATTTGTTTCACTATGCTGATAGTCAACTGCAGAATGAATAAAAATTATATAGCAACATAAGAAATAAATTATTAATTATAAATCTATAATAAGATGACAGAAGTCAGTCATATGAAGAAAAGACTTGTTTCAGTACCAAGAGCATATGAAATTATGTATGTTTTAATTATATTAAAAATTAGAGTACTATAAATTTAAAATTTCAATAAAGTCAAATTATCTGTAAAAAATTGTATTACTTTAGTACACTGTGCATAACTTTCCTTTAAAATTTTAGCACTACTGTGTACCGTAAACGCTTTGCAGTTTGTTTACCACCCCATGCCAAGTCATGCCACCCTGTTAAGAAAAAAATGGCTTCTTTTTACTATTATGTTTTCCGCGCGCTAAAAGTTTGTTCCTCTGAATCTTTACTTACCAATGAACTTAATTATTTGAGAGCAGTTGCGATTTGACCGTGGATTTTCTCCCGTGATTATTGATAAAGCCGTCAAAAAATTTTCAGATTCCCATCAAAGAAGACATTCCACTGTTAGAAATAATATCAATGACCTTGTCGTGCTTCCATTTTATCCTCTGTTAGCTATAAAATTGCACGGATTCTCCAGAAATTCAATTTTCAAGTCGGTTTCTCCCCGTATTAATAAAATTCACCCTTCGATTCTAAAAGATTGCGCTCCTGTCTTGAATTCTTGGAGAATTTATAGTATATCGTGTCAGTGTGGTTTAAGATATATTGGCCAAACAAAAAGAGCGTTGAAGTTTCGTATCAAGGAACATGAATCTTATGTCAGAAAAGGTGAAATTAACAAGTCTTCAATAGCGTATCATAATTGGACATTTAACCATAATCTTGAATTTGGGTCTGCAAAAATTATCCAAAAGGCTTCTTCCATAAGTGAATTGGATTTTCTTGAGGCTTTCCATATTCACAAAGATTTAGCATGTTTAGCTAATGATTTTAAGTCCAATCCAGTCCTTCCTAATGCCTTTAAAATTCTACTATCTTAATTCAGTTACTATTTTTGCCGATAGATGGCGTTACCTCCTCGCATTTGGTACTACCAGAGGGTATAAAAATCCGTTCAGTGGTTGCTTTCCATTATTCGATGTTCAAATTTTGAGTGTGAAGGTGCAGTTGCCCCTCGCTCCCTATTTTTAACTTTTCTTGTCCTGTTTGCTAATTTTTATTGTCCTTTGTGTTATATGTTTGATCAGATAGCCTGGCTCAGTAAAAGTAGGCATCCAGTGTAACTCTGATTGAAAATCTGGTTATAACCACGTGAAGTGCTGATAAGGACCACGTGTTTCTGAGACTTCTTCCCCTTTATTTTTCTCCTTTCTAGATAATTCTTTCTCCTGATGAGGAGGGACCTTTAGCTGCCCTTGAAATCGATTGAGTGTTTCAATATACTTATACTAAGTACAAGGTTGTTTTTTCGATTTTGATAATCAACATATATTCATGAATCTACCATATTCACAAATAAAAATTTACTTTTATTTAGACAAAATCATGTCATTTTCTTCTGGAATATCAGCATAAAGCTCCAAAACTCGAATTCTGGTCTGGTTTTCTTTGCCACTCCATTTCCTGGAAAATTACTAGCCCTAATTTATCATGTTTAGTAATACAGTTCTCTTTAAGTGAGCACTTCTTGTCCTCTAGCTAGCTAGTACAGTCAAAAGTCGTTAATCCGGAGTCGTTGGGACTTCGGCGATTCCGGATTATCGATTTTTCCGGATTATAGATCATCAGTTTAAATCTCGTAAGATGGCATGCAGAAATTCTAAAATTAAAAATATGAAACTGTAATTTATGAAATAAAGAACAATTATGATCTAAAGGGTATCAAAATTTAGAAAAAAAAAAAGCTTAATATTTATTTGTTTACTTTATTAAGCATTTCTTTCAATGTAAGTTGTTTAAGTTGCTTCGTTTTATGACATAATACTTTCTCTTTAATTCTATAAACAGACATAATTTCTTGTTCAGTTACAAAGTTCCGCTGTTCAAGTCCCGTAATTGCTGTGCCCAGAATACCGACTAACTTGTCAATCGAAATTTTTTCGTTTTCACTAACCTTTCTGTCACCTTCTTCATGTCTTTATCCATTTTTTGCAGCAATTCCACTTTTTGTTTGATGGACATCGGAACATATTTTCGTTTTGTAGATCCTTTGGGAGCTCCAGTATCCGAAATTCTATTTGACATAATCGAAAGTTCAAGTTTACTTTTATAAAATTGCTCTTACAGTCTGCAAAAAATAATACGCCGGATCCAACTCGAAGATTAAGGAACAACGCAATCATCAACATTAACTGAAATAGATAATTAGATAATTTTAGCTTATACCATCTGTTATACATAAAAAAAAACGCACGCAAAAACGTATTCTGCGCTTGCGCACACACATATGCGCAGTCGTAAAGGTCTTATGCGCACGCGTAAACGCCTATGCACATGTGTCAACTCGGCGCTTGCGGAGAAAGTTTTTAGTTTTGAGGTCCAGATTATAGATCATTCTGGATTATGGGTGTCCGAATTAACGACTTTTGACTGTAGTATGTTGATAATATAGCTGTCCATAATTTTACCCCATTAATTCTTCACCCAAGTTATAACATCTTTCAGGTTATCATGATTGCCATTTGCAAAAACCTAATTTCTATTTGCAGAAAAGTTTAAGGTTCTTACCCCAGGAATCCTCCATAATTCCTTTCTTGTACTTGACTGATTAATTCTTTTTTTCTCCTTTTGTTTAGGGATTGAAATATTATTCTATTTATATCAGGTTGTCAGCAAGTTCAATAATTAATAATCATTAAATAGCTACTCCTGAATTTTCATAGACTTATAATTACCTGGAAATACTTGGCATGACAAAGAAGGATGCAAAATTAAATGAGATTTAGACTTCATGCACTATGAGAACGTTTCACATGTTGACATTTTCATGGACCATCGAATTCTAGTCTTCTTGCTAACACATGTGTTACTACAAACAAACACAAGATAAAACTGAAAATACGCAATAAAACATCTGGTGCAATGACAGCACCGCCTATACAGAATGATAAAATAAGGCAAAAAACATTTTGAAATTTAAAATATGACTTTATGCACTATGAGAATGTTTCACATGTTGACATTTTCATGGACCATCGAATTCTAGTCTTCTTTTTAACACATCTGTTACTACAAACACAAGACAAAACTGAAAATACGCAATAAAACATCTGGCACAATGACAGCACCATCTATAAAGAATGATAAAATAAGGCAAAAAAACATTTTGAAATTTAAAATATCCACCTCTGGCTGAATTCTCATGTTCAGGATGACTGTTTAGGAAATGGACAGCATTTGGAAATTAGATGCTGATAAAGTCCAGCTGATGCTTTTACTTCAAAAACTCAAGCGACTCTTTTTCCAGGAAAAACTTCTGTTATACTTCAAAGATTCTACTTCAGCAGAGGAAACTCTTTGAGAGTCCCCTTTTCACAAAGTTGCAGTTGATTCAGATATTCAGATATTTTCTTGAATATCGATTCAAATAATACTCATCTTGACCAAAACTGATTATGAAGTTGCTGACTCAAATGCGATCTTGACTTTAAACGGAGAGACTTTGTTGGTACTTTATCAGAAAAGGACATTATATGAGCACCTATTAAAAAGTGTCCTAAAGAAAGAGGAGTCAGTGGCCTGTAATTAAGACATGCTTCAATCTGTATTACTAGACTGCAAAGTTCCTTAGAAGTTAAGATAGCTTTGAATAAATGTTGCTTGGCGGATTTGATTCCAGCCTCCCGCAATCCTCCGAAATGTAGAGCTAAAGGTGGGATAAAATGCCATACAACAGATTCTTGAGCTGCAAAGTTTTGAGTTTTAGCAGAATAGAGAAGCACTCATTGCTCTTTTATATAGGTTGCTGCTCCTCTAAAATTCATTGTGTTATCTAAATACAAATTTACTGGTTTTCTATGTTTGGAGATAAACCATCTTAAAGCCCCTAAAGAGGCATCTGTTGATAAATCTGAAACAATTCTAGGTGAACTGCTTTAGTGGCAAAGCAAATGAAAAGAACAAATGATTTAATTCTTATGTAACTGTGCATTAGATTACGCTTTGTTATGAATAGCCCACCAAAATTAAGTCTAACGTTCAAAAATGGCTCTGCGAACAATAAATCTACTGGAAGGCAGGTCTGCCATGACGGTATTGCATAGCTTCTACTCCAGTCATAAGTAAGTCAAACATTTGGATAGAATTCGTCAAACTGCATCTCTTCCAGAAGGTATCCAACACTTTTGATGGGTACAATACAAAGTAAGTTGAGAACCACTATGTAAATGAATTTTGTGATAATTGCACCAATAAGGTAGTGAATAGGCGACTCTTTGTTATAAGAATTTGATGTTTTTGATTTTGATCTATGCTATAGTTAGTTCATCACCCTATTACTCTAATAATTCCATCTCCATCAAGGAACGCATTTGTTGGAATCAGTTTGAAGTCTCTTTTTTACATAATTGTACTAAAGCTTGAATTCTAATTTTTTAAATGAGCTTAACTATAGAATGAGTTGCTTCTTCAAGCTCTCCAGATGCTAATACAGAATCTGTTCGCACATGTTTTAGATGATTCTGTTTCACTGTAAAAAACTCTTCTGCTTGGAATTTTTTTTAACTGCAACTATATTTTTGAAAGTATAAATTATCATCTCCTATTTGACAGTTTTGTTTTTCACAATGCCACTTTCACAAAAGCAATGGATGAAAGGCTATGTTTCTGTTCTTCCCAAAGAAAATTATTCATATCTAGTTATTAAAAAATGTTGTGAGACCCATAGTTTTTCGATATCTAAAGCTATGATACGTAATGTTGTCAACAACAAAGGGGCAAGAATGCCAAAATTTAGCTTCAAGTGGAAAAACTGTTCCAAATACATATGCAAACCAAAAAAAACAGAATGTTTGGAATACTGCAAAAGCAAGATCTTTAATTTTAAAAGAAAATCTGCCAATTCAAAGGACAGTTGCAAAATCATCAAAATGCTCAGTGTCAACCGAAAAAAAAAAAAAAGTGAGTAATGCTTGACTTGAATCTTTAAAATGCGAAAAAACGCTGTCTTTCTCCATGACTTATCGCCGAACGCAGAACACACTGCAGAATTGTTTGTGAGAAACATTTATCTGTACAATAACAGATAAACAATGTCACAATAGATGAATCTTGAGTGTACTTAAATGACTGCAATAAAGAGAGATCCATTTATTATCATTAAAAAAGGAGGGAAAAAAGATCTTAAAACATGGTTCGAGGAGTCTAAAGAAAGTTTTTCTAAGGGATTTATGATTATTGCTGGTTTTTCATATAACAGCAAATTAAAAGTAAAGAGAGTACAGAAAAATGTTAAGCTCAACTCCACATACTATCAAAAACATATTTTATACCCAATTTTCAAGCATCAAATACCTTTAGATCAAAATAACATGCCAATCAAATATTAATTTAGAAGTCAAACAACAAAAATCAGCATGATATCTGCAAACTTTTACAGGACTAGTTTTGGTGGTTTTACTGAACCATCATACTCAGCTGCCAAAGAGCAAATGAATGAGATAAGATATTGTGATAAGATAAGAATGTTTGGACAGTAATTAAGCTACTGGCGCCATCTATTGATGAAGCAAGAAAACTAAACAATAATTTCCTTAAAGGCTGACTGTAATGATGAAATGGAATTAAGAGTCGTTAACTAGAACAGAGAAATATTTTTTTAATATGAAACGCTTCTAGAAATCTAATTCATCAAATGGAAAATGTTTTTTGAATAATTTTTGCTACAGAAAAATAGAAAGTGTGATTTGGGTGCCAACAATGCTGGGCAACAGAAGACTTCTGTGTTTCCTTTTTCCTAACATTTTGCTCTTTGGCAGATGAGGATGATGGTTTGGTAAAATCATCTAAACTAGTCCTGTGAAAGTTTGCAAATATAATGCTGATTTTTGTTGTTTGACTTCTAAATTAATATCAAATACCTTTTCTTTACGCAAAGTACCATCAGTCAGTAGAACTGCATCAAGATAAAGCAAGCAGTGACACGTCTTTCCCAGAAAAATGGAACTAGAAAAGGGTATCCCTTCACTCATATCCCTATTAAATATCCCGTATTTTTTGCGCTTTTGGACTTTTAAAAAGCAGATTGTCCAAACGTCGACCTACAACTTCCCCAGACTTTGAAAAGTTATTCGAGAGCAATGTAATAAAATACCTCTTCTGATACTACAAAAGGCTTCATTGTCTTAAAAATTACAGTGTATAAAGATAATGGAAAATAAGAATTATCAAACAGAACATTTGAAACATACAAATTTTAGGTAAAATATTTCTGCAATTACAATGAAAATTGTCAAAAAAATGTGCAAACAGCCCTTGTACACCTTTTATTCTTTAATTCTGAGCTTGTATTTTGCAGTTTCTAATGAAATCTAAACATCACAAAATCATTCTAATGCATTTTGATGAGAATTTTGAAATAACTTCTAACATAGCAATAACTTAAGGTGTATCTGAAATGGTGATGTTGACTAACAGAAACAATTTTTCTTTCGTGTCTGATATCAGCCATGCATGCTTCTTGTGAATCTCCATGCAAACAGAATATATTATAATGGTACAACCATTGACAGCCATGCCACAGCAAAGTGTGACATTTCAGTTCTGCTGCAGAAATACCTCTTTAGGAACAATCTGCTGGATTTCCTTGACTTTCATGCAATTCCATGAAGCTTCTGAAGAGGAGCCTTGAATTTTTGATATCCTATTAGCAACAAAACTTTTGCATCTTTGAGATGAACTTAGCCAATCTAAAACCTGAGTATTGCATAGTCCAATCAATACAAATATTCTTCCTCGAGGATGTTGAAATAACTTTACAGTCTAGAAAGAAGACCTGAACATAATTCAATTCTTGGCCCTGTTATTGTCTTCACAGGAGCAGCTTTTGTTTCTGAAGTAATTAATGAAAAATGGGATGTTCCATTTTCAAATTCTGTTCTTAGATAAAACACTGCAGCATATGCATGTTCAGACAGATTGCAAAATCAATTAACTGCACATTTTTAATACATGTGCTTTTCATCAAGAATTGTGAAATCTTGATTTCAGCTAAATGCTCAATTTGATGTTTAAAGAGGTTCCATACTTGAGAAACATCATTAGGTAATAAATCATTCCATTCAATATTTTTCTTCCATTAATGCTGCATTAGGATTTTTAACTAAATTGTTGTGCGTGATAAAAACCCAAGAGGATCCTAAATTTTTGCAATGGTTGACAGCAGCTGACGTTTTGGTATAACACCATTAGTAGGTAGGTTTATTTTAATTCTGAATACATCTTCTTTAGCATCCTATGTAATTCCTAGAATTGTATGGATTTGATTTTCTTCATTCTGCCAAAAGTCCACTCGTCTTCTTAGTTCTTGGGGTAAAAGTTCTATGACTGATGATTTATTTGATACCTAATTCCTTATTGGAACACTGGCCTTTATCAATGAGTCCGATAATTTTGGGAGACTGATAACAAATCTAACACCAGAATTTCGATTAAAGTGATTTAAATGCCTTGACCTTCCACTTCATTCAGTATACTCACATCTGGAACTGACTCAACTTGCCAGAATTTTTTTTCATTAAATTTTCAATGGCTACTGAAGCATGACAATTGAGTAAGGAATTCTGAATTTGATATGAAACAGACACTCCTCCTGAGATGATCCAACCCAATTTTGAATTTAGAGCAGAAGGTTGGTTTTGATTTCTCAATATCATTCCAGTTCGAATTAAATCTAAGAATATATCTGCACCCACAATGATACTAATTCAGAAGACAAACAACAAAAATCAGCGTTATATTTACAAAATTGATTTTTGTTGTTTGTCTTCTGAATTAGTATTTATTCGGCGTGTTATTGTGTCTTAACCCACAATGATGTCAATTCGCCTATTCATATGAAAAGAAGGGTCTGCCAATTGTCATCCTTTCAGATGAGACCAAGTGAATTCTGATATGTTGAAGAATTACGTGATTAGATTTTTGAAACGAAAGCTCTAGCTGATTATAACACGATTCAGTGATTAAAGATGTTTTTAAAAACCATTATCAATTAAAGCACAGCAGTCAAGAAACTGTCCTTGATTATTTTGTGCTCTAAGGCAAGCAAATTTGAATTATAATTCTTCACATTCCCTGTGAAGCAAACCATTGAACCAAGTATCACTTACATATGAAAATTAAAAAAAAAAATTAAAAAAATCTTACCACAAATGTTTTCTGACAAAATAAGTTGCATTAAATGTGTAAAATCATCTGTTCCAGACATCCAGCTTTCTTCTATAGCTTTGTCCATAGCAACAGCTAAATGAGGATCTAACTCTACTCTTTCTCCTTCAATCTTGATAAGAAAGAAAAAAAGGAAAAACATTTAATAATGGAAAACAAATATGAGTACATTGAAAAGCTTCAAAAATCACCATTACATATTTTTTTTAATAATTTGAATGTTGCTATACTGATAAAAGTTTCATGTGAAATTAAAGTAAACCTGAACATGAACTGTCAGTTTTCCCTCCTTTAAACAAGCATCTGAGTCACACAGCCTTGAGTGTTTTTGTTTACAAATGAAAACAAAGTTGAAATTGTCATGAAATATTTACATCTAAAAGATAAAGCTGCAAGTGGAATCAAATTTAGATTGTATGTTATCACCCTCATTTTATACTCTGAATTTCGAGATTTTGGAACTCAGTAGCCACATTCACAGAACTATGAACTGTCTTCACGGTGTCCAAAAATAGTTGTTGCACTACAATTTATGGATATTGTTACGAAATGTACAGGCATGGTAAAATAGCTTGCACAGGCATGGTTAAATAGCTTATACGCAAAGGAAGTTTAGGGTTGTCATGAAATAGCAAGGAAGGCAGGGTTGCCGCATTTGGCGAGAAATCGCCCATTTGGCAACAAAATTGGTGATATGTCATGGACAGATGGAGAACCTTCTGGAACGAATCCTTACCGGTTTAGCCCAGAATGTTCTCGAACACAAGCCGAAAGCTATATAAACCCTGCTGGTCTGCAGTCAGTTAGTGTGTGTGTGCCTCGTCTAGAGTGCGAGTTAGTTAGTATCGAGTTGGTGTCTCGTCTAACGAGCCAATCCCTGCGGAGTCGATCAACTTGACAGCTGGGCAGCGAGTGCCGAGTGGGTCGTCGAGTGTCCTGATGAATACTGGCTAATAAAGTGTGTTTCGATAGTCCATCAAGTGCTGTCATCGTTATTCACTCCAAATCCACACGAACCCCATACGAACGTGAAGGAAGAAAATAATGTAACAACTGGTGTTAGAAGAAAAAAAAAACGCAACAATATATTCCACTGGGAGGGTTGAAGTCAATTTCAGGAAGGAATTAAAAAGATACAGAAACACTAGACTATGCGCATTGAGCTGCAAAGGAATTATGTCAGAAAAAAGTACAACTTGAATCAAATATATTTTATTTTACTTGGCATTCTGGAAACTTTTCTCATTACGTTCAGAGTACATTGCTAATGTAAAATTTTTAATTTTGTACAACCACAAAACAAAAGGTAAAAAATAAGATACATGAAAGTAAAACTTTTTAAAAATTATTTACATTAGATTTACTTTATTTCAATCATGTTTCTTTAGGTCTTTTTATTTTTAATTAAATTGTTTTCATACTAAATTTAGAGCTCACAGAATTTTATGCTTTACAGCAGAATTAAAAAAAACTTAACAACAAAAATAAATTATATCAGAATTGTATTTTAAAAATTTCCAATCAAATAGTCTTTTCATGATATTTTAATTAATAAAAGAGTAAATAACTTGCTTACTTCACTGCAGTTCAATGAAAGCTCATCTATATTAATATCCTGATAATAGTTACTATTTTCTGTTCCTTGAGATGGTGCATTAGAAGAGGAAGCAGCATATCCAGGTTGTTGAACTGAACACCAAGAATCTAATTTTTTCCTTGATTTTTGCTTCTCAAAATCTTTTTTATATTTGATCATAGCCTTGTTTGTGTAACATGTTCTACAAGAGTTAACAGTTTGATTAATTTAGATTTACTAAATGTGTGTTATAAAAAAAATGTGAAATTATCTCATAAATGAATATTAAAAATTGTTTACCCCTTAAGTACATCTTCAAGGAAAAATGTTTTCACATCATAAACTCTCCCAGGAACTGAAAAACAAATAAATAACTACTTAAAAGTATAGAATAAGTATATACATATTAAATGATTAAAAAAGAGAAATCACGCCAGAAAAGTCTGGCAATGCCACAGAAATGAATAAAGATAAATTTCGGCTCAACGCCCCATTATCATCAAGTCAAGACTATTACAAAAGAACACACATGCAAATACTGGGCTAATTACCTTGAAGGTCTTAATACTGATGATTATTCACTCTGAAAAGCTGCTTCAAGGTATAAAAGATGCTACACAAATACTCCACCCCTTAAAGACCCCATTTCAATCGCCTATACAGAAACTGAGAAAGCTCAGTCTTTAGCAGATCACTATGCTATTCAGTTTAACAATAACAACATTCCTGACCCACACACAGAACAAACAGTTACGGATACTATTACACAATTCTTCTCACAAACATGCACTAACAACAGCACCGTAGTTAATTCGGCAGATGTTCTTAACTATATCGAAAATATGAAAGAGAAAACGAGTCCTGGCATTGACCAAGTTACAAACAAAATGATAGAAAGTATGGGACTCCTGATGACATGCAGACTGGTAAGAATCATCCAGTACATCATCCATTTCTGATACTTTCCTATTAAATGGAAAACAGCCATTATTGTACCTATTCCAAAACCTGTAAAAACCTTAAGCAAAGCAGAATTGTACAGACCTATAAGTCTGCTTCCAACCTGCAGCAAAATTGCCGAATCCATCATTCTAAAAATTACTCTAAACTATGCTGAAGAAAGAGAAATCTTAATGCACGAGCAATATGGCTTTAAAAAATATCATTCTACTGTTCATCTATTTTATAGAGTTACGAAGTTGTTATCATCTGGATTGCAGCAAAAAGCTAGCACAGCAACAATATTCCTTGATATAGCTAAGGCATTTGACCGTGTTTGGCTCGATGGCCTCATATACAAATTAACCAAACTGGGCTTCTTAGATTACATCATTACAATACTTTCTTCCTATCCCTCAGATAGATACTTTGTCATTCGCATTAATAACAACTACTCAAATACACAAAAAGTGTTTGCTGGCATACCCTAGGGAAAGCCACTTGCAACCTTTCCTCTATAATATCTATGCGAACGATATACCACACACTCAGAACACAACAATCACTATGTATGCTGACGACATGGCGATTCTCTCACAAAATGCATCTATTAGCTCAGCTATCCAACATCTTCAAACCCATATCCACACACTAGAGTCTTGGCTAAGCAAATAAAAAATTAAAACCAATGTTGACAAGATCCAAGCAGTCATCTTCACTAGGAAGAGAAATATCCTAGAAAACCTGATCTTCTATGATATCACCATTCCCTGGACTAAGAAAATCAAGTACCTCAGTGTAATTCTAGATCACCACTTAACATGAAACCCCCACACTAAACACATAATTTCTAAGTTTTGAGATAGTAAAATCAGACTCGAAGTTTATTATTAATAAGTAATATTAAGTTTCACCCCCTTTAAAATACGTCTATGACAATGGGTCGATCGCAATGCATTTTTTAGAACAAAGTAGATCTTTTGTATACAAAAATTGCCCCCATCTGATGCACACCATGCAAATAAAAGAGCACAGATGACACAAACAAGCATTAATGTATGATTGTTGTGAAAACTATTTCATACCCGAGACACGGCAAAATTTGAATTTGGTTGGTTTACCTGATGATGCAAAAATTATCCTGATTGTAGATAACTGTTTGGCTCATATTTCACTTAAAGTTTTAATGAAAGATAATATATCAGTAGTATTCTTTCCTCCGAACTATATGCCCATCATTCAACCATGGATATTGGAATAGCGCTCACTTTGAATTGCAAATAGAAAGTCACATTTTTAAAATCCATATTAAATTTTTTGAATAATGGGCAAGACTATACAAGAATTTTTGAAATATTTTAACATAAAATTTGCTGTGTGGAGAGTCACAAGATCGTGGGAGGATGTACCTCCAGGTATTTAAAAAAATGCTTGACATAATATATGGCCATTTACCATATTTCATGGTGAGGATGATGAAGATGATAGCCGCAAATTTGAAGGTTTTCGGATATCGCAAACCAAAGGTAAAATTGTCCAAGTTAATGGATTTTGTAAAGAAATGTGGAGAAGTAGTAATAAATGAAGATGATATAACAGAAGTTTTTCACTGCGATGACAATGCCTTAATCATCAGTCAATTAATGGACGGCAAAATTTGTAGTATGGTTCTAGGTCCAGAAAATACCGCTATTAGTAGTCGAGAAAGTTACAGACAAGTTACTGAAAATAAAAAAATTTCGATTCATAAGTTAATTGGAATTCTCTACACCCAAAACTTGAATAAAATAGAATTTTGTAACTGAAAAAAAAATTATGTCTGAAAGCATTAGCACAAAAATCGAAGCAACTTAAACAACTTACATTGAAAGAAATGTTTAATAGAAAAAAAATATTGAGTGGGTTTCCCCCTCCCTGCAAATTTTGACACAATTTAGATCATAAATGCTTCATTATTTCATAAATCACAATTTCATATTTGTAATTTTTTTAATTTCTACATGCCATCTTACTAGATTTAAACTGATGATTCAATATCTGGAAAAATCTCAAATCAGGAACTGCTGAAGTCCCGACGGTCCAGATCTCAGACTTTGTACTGTATTACACACACACATATACATACAGGGTGCATAGGAAAATTCCATCAACTTGAACATTCTTGCGAGCCGAGAGAGCCACAGCTATGCATGTAAGGTAACTGTATATTAAAGCGGCTACGCCAGCAACCTAATGCAAACGACAGCAGTACCCCTCGTGGCAAAATCTGGAAGATAGGCATTGCAAATCGAAAACGAAAAGAGATAGAGCAAAATTTCCAATTAGAAAGTTTTAGAACATAAATTAGTTAGTTCAAAATGACATTTAGTTCACACGGATAAGATAAACTGTCGACTGTATGCCCAAAGATGTCTGCAATCGATGCATTCCATTTTGTGTAAACATTTGAAAGGAATAGCCACAGGCATTAAGAAATACACATCTTTTTATTGCAAAAAATACCTACTTACATCAATACAATTTGATAACATCACATACACATGCACAAAAAAAAAAAAAAGTAAACTATCACATAGTGATAGGAAGTTAATGTTGTCTGCCATCGAGATTATAATGAGGTTTCAGATTATGCCGTTTGTATGAAGCAAAAGCCAACATCTTTTAAACTAAAATTTTAAATGCATTGGAAAATAAAGTTTTACTGATGTTACAGTAGAGTACGATGTCACAATTTGCAATTGCACACAGCTACATTTCCAAAATCTGAATATGGAGAGTAGAATCATCACACACCTATTGCGCACATCTTTGGGTATACAAGCAACTATTTATCTTATCCGTATGAACCAAATGTCATTTCGTACTAATTAATTGATGTTCTAAAATTTTCTAAATTTTCTAATTGTAAATTTTGCTCTATCGCTTTTCATTTTCGATTTGCAATGTTCATCTTCTAAATTTCACCACTAAGGGCACTGCCGTTATTTGCATAAGGTCAGACACAGCTGCTTTACTATACCACTACCTCTTTTGCATAGCTATTGCTCTCTATATCCGCAAGAATTTTCAGATTACAAGGACTTTCCTATGCATCCTGTCTATATATATATATGTAGAGAGAGAGAGAGAGAGCTTGGCCTCTTGAGAGTTAAACCAAAGAATGCTTCCAAAGCTTTTGGTCAATAATCTTCAATATAAGGGCCATCTGGAATCAATCCACAGATTACTGTTACTGGAAAACAAAATAAATTATTGGCAGCTTCTGCAATTCCCCCCCCCAAATTCAATTTAAAAGTATATCAATTAATTCAAGTGTTGAGCATTTGAGAGTGTACAGCAAAATTCTGAAAACTAGCAAATTTCAGATAAGTAGTGTTAATTATATGAATTACATATTTAGATGAAATGAAACATGCAAATGCTAAATACATTACTGTTCAAAATTATGATTTCATTCATAAAAACATCGATTTTTAAAAAAATGTTGAATGAAATCAAATGTATTTATTTGGGAAGATACAAAATATCATACAGGATGAATACAAATTAAAAAATTAAAATGAATGCGTGTAACACAAAACTAAATTTTTAAAAATATAATACAGTCAAAAGTCGTTAATTCGGACACCCATAATCCGGAATGATCTATAATCCGGACCTCAAAGCTACAAACTTTCTGCGCATGCGTCACGTTCATGCATGCGCACAGGCGTTTACGAGAGTGCATAAGACCCTTACAGCTGCGAATATGTTTGTGCGCATGCGCGTTTAATGTGTAACGGAGTTATACGCTAAGCTAAAGTTATCTAATTCAGTTAATGTTGCAGATTGCGTTGTTCCTTAATCTTCGAATTGGATCCGGCTTATTATTTTTTGCAGACTGTTAGAGCAATTTTATAAAAGTAAGCTTGAACTTTCGATTATGTCAAATAGAATTTCCGATATATATTTACTACAAAGCGAAAGTATGTTTTGAAATCCGAAAATCTGTTTATCAATTTCACGCTGCTCTGCAGCAGGAGGGGGGGGGGCAGAAACGTCATTATTAGATTATGATAGATTAGAAAGATTATGTCAAATAGAATTTCCGATATATATTTACTAATATGTAATTTGTATCTACAAAGCAAAAGTATGTTTTGAAATCCGAAATCTGTTTATCAATTTCACACTGCCGATTGGAAGTTGATCTGTCAGCACTATCCTTATCTTCAGAGCAGATGTTTTTATTTTATTTGGCTTATAATTCCGTACTAAGTGTACGGAATTATTAAGTGTAGTATTTCATCTCATCTCGATATACTCTTTGATTATGATTTAAATCAAGTTCCTGGTCATTATAATTCGCTTCCGATAGTGAAGAAAGTGACCCAGAGGTTATTGAAAACGAAAACATTTCGATTGACAAATTAGTCG